AGACATAATTTCGTACCATTTGGCTTTTCCCTCCCATATGATTTGCAAATCTTGGCGGTCTTTACCTCTGGAACACTATACCTTTTGGTGTTTTTTGGTGGTTCTGACGTTCTAAGTGTTGGATTCAGCAGCTAATTCCGTAGGAAACACAGACATAATTTCGTACCATTTGGCTTTTCCCTCCTATATGATTTGCAAACATTGGCGATCTTTTATCTCTGGAACACTCTACCTTTTGGATCCTTTTGGTGCTTTTTGGGGGTTCTGTTTTGGTGCTTTTTGGCTTGGGGGTTCTGACGTTGTAAGTGTTGGATTCAGCAGCTAATTCCGTAGGAAACATAGACATAATTTCGTACCATTTGGCTTTTCCCTCCCATATGATTTGCAAATATTGGCGATCTTTTATCTCTGGAACACTCTACCTTTTGGATCCTTTTGGTTCTTTTTGGGGGTTCTGACGTTCTAAGTGTTGGATTCAGCAGCTAATTCCGTAGGAAACATAGACATAATTTCGTACCATTTGGCTTTTCCCTCCCATATGATTTGCAAATATGGGTGATCTTTTATCTCTGGAACACTATACCTTTTGGTGCTTTTTAGGGGTTCTGACGTTCTAAGTGTTAGATTCAGCAGCTAATTCCGTATAGGAAACCTAGACATAATTTCGATTCCACTTCGAATTCCAATTTTCTGCAATGTTTTAATTGCGTTATAAAAGGAAATTCAATTGATTTCGAAAGCGAAAAAACTAGTCTTTTTATTAAGGGTTTAAATTTATTATTGGGATCCGCTTCGAAATCCAATTTTTGGCAATATTTTAATTGTGTTATAAGGAAATTTACCTGATTTTGAAATCGAAAAAAACGGTTTTTCTTATTAAGGGTTTAAATTTATTATTTAGGTCCGCATCGAAATCCAATTTGTGGCAATATTTCAATTGCGCTATATAAGGAAATTTAATTGGTTTTGAATCGAAAAAAATAGTTTTGTTTTATTAAGGGTTTAAATTTATTAGGGTCCGCTTCGAACTCTAGTGTTTGGCAATAGTCTTATTGCGTTATAAAAGGAAATTTAATTGATTTTGAATCGAAAAAACTAGTCTTTTTATTAAGGGTTTAAATTTATTATTAGGATTCGCTTCGCAATCCAATTTTTGGCAATATTTTAATTGCGTTATATAAGGAAATTTAATTGATTTTGAAGTCGAAAAAAATAGCCGCTTTATTAAGGGTCTAAATTTATTATTAGGGTCCGCTTCGAAATCCAATTTTTGGCAATATGTTTAATTGCGCTATATAAGGAAATTTAATTGATTTTGAAATCGAAAAAATAGTTTATATAGCGACGGACAATCACTTAGCACGTTCTAAGTGTTGGTTTACGTTCTAAGTGATAAATGGGCCTAAGTGATATTTTGACGTTCTAAGTGATGAATTTTCCCTACGTTCTAAGTGATGAAATTTTGCTACGTTCTAAGTACGAAAAAAAAATTGGACAAAAATTTTACGTTCTAAGTGATTGTCCGTCACTATATACATATGCATACAAAAGTGTATTTACATATATATATATGAGCTATGAACATGTTTATCCATCCTATTGTGAAACTGATTGATCTCTTCTTATATAAAATACACATGCCAACATCGGATAGATAGATAACTAATATAAATAGGATAGATAGGATAGATAGATGGATGGATAGACAGTATGTATAATATATATATATGTATGTATATGCACATGGAGCTATATTCATTTATTTGCGTGTGAAGAATGACAGTGAGTGTTCAGATGGAGACACACACACACATGTACACACACATACACATATATATATATATACATGTACACATACACAATAGATAAGTATCCATGTGGTGATCATAAGCTAGTCTCAAATGTCTGAAATTGTAATGTTCCGCCAAGACTACGTAAGATTCCAAGAGAGTACTTATATCTTTGTCAGGTCAATGGTCGGAGATCCATATTTTTTCACGCTTGGACTGGGGCCCCCATCATGTGTTGATGCGGAGCCTAGGTTACAACGTGGTGGGCCGGACCATTTGCCGACTGCTGGACAGTGAGGGCGAGGTGGGACATCTAATGTGGTCAAAATCATTAATTGACTTATCACAACTGGGTGAAAACCTTAAATTGTCTCAGGTAGCACTTTGTTTTTTTAATGTTAGTGTGCCTCGCGGAAGAGGTGAAATACACACTTGAATTATTGAATGACTTGTCACTTGGTGTGATTTGTGCAGCACAACGCGACAACGCGTTGGCACGGATCATGGTAAAGCTGCGTCATGGTCCAAAAATGGGAGGTAGCTGGGTAGCAATTGTTTTGGCAAGAATAGTGGGTCACAACGATGATCAACCATGATCAACTGTCGCATGTTAACATTTTCCCAACAGTTTTCCCATGTTTTCCCCCTAAAATGTCAGAAGATCCCCAAAAACACCAGAATTGATCAAGCTTGGTGGATGAGTTTGAGGCTTTGGACCTCCCATAGCCATGGAACCAATTTCACGCCGGGCGAGGCCGAATACATCGTCTTCGAGGACGACGTGAAAACGGCGAAGGAGGCGGGAAAAATGGGGGTTTGAGATTTTCCCCATTGAAACTATCGATGCATCTTGTTTTTTTTCCAGTTCAAAAGGGAGAACAACACACACAATATATCGATATGATCTATATATATATATGCAGTATATATATATATATACAAAACCATGGATTTTCGTACGTTTTCCTTTCCAATTTGAAACTGTTTGAAGACCCCTGTGCTGCCAAGAACTAGTCCATTTCCTTCAAAAGATGTCGACCGAAGCTTTCTGTTCCCATGCAGTCGTCGAGAACAAGAGGTTGAAGCACAGATTCTTTGATATTCTTTGGTATCGCACACGGTTGAGCCATCTCATGTGGCTAGCCATGCCTCTTGCAGGGCAGTGATCGCAGTTGAGAACATCACTAAGGTTGCAACACACGAGTTTCATTTGGCTCAGAGGAGGGGTAGCACTTCACCGGATCCTGAGCCTTCAAGAGGAACTCCTGATGCTTTTCCTTGGTGGTCTGCGGGGTTTCACCAAAGATCGACCAGTTCATCCCTAGTTTCTGACTACTTTCTGATCTTGATGACCCAGCTTTCTATCCATTGTGAATCATATCACATTTTGTCCCCAAGATCTTTGCTCACCGTCCCATCCCCATCACCTGTCCCAGTTTCTGCTCGCCATGGAGTATGGTTTGGTGCCCACGTCACCATCCCTCCCAGGAGCGTTTGGCACAGGGGAACAGTACCCCTCAAATGGATGCAGAAGTAATTCATCATGATTCATCACTAATGCCGATAGTAGGGTTTTAACATGTTTTAACTGTGTTTTAACTATCTGTTTGGGGCTTGCTATGAGGGTTTTCCTTTGGAGAACTCTTGAGAAACTTTGAGAACATACTGAAATGATGTCCAAACTTGGAGTTGTTGGGGTGACACTCCCCCAGCTCTCAGAGCTTCTGCTCCTTGTCTCGACTGTGGCTCGAACTGTCAGGCCAAAGTGGGATCAGTTTTCCAATTGGTCGTTGAGTCAATGAAACCTGCCTATTTCGTTGCTGAAAGGTGCTCAAACTCCCAACTCTTGTGGCTTGGGCAATTCTCAACAGGATGAGACAGAAACACAATCGCCGTGTCAATGCCTTTCAAATATCTACCCCTGGAACGAGGATGAATCGCTTATCCTCATTCTTGTTGGTGAATTCTCCATCTTCTTGCTGGTCATCTCCCATTTTCATCCCTTCTTCCCTGCATTTTTGGCAGTGAAATTCCCATGTTTCTTGCTTACTGCCATTCCTTTCACCACCCAAAATGCTTCGCCCCTTCCTCTTGGCATTGGCCCAAAGTGGCCTCGCCAGCAATGTGGGCGAAGTTCACTGCCTCAATGTCTGGGCTGCTTAGCACGGGGCGGACAGATTCAGTGGGCATGTCGATTGGTTGAACTTCTTGAAACTTCCACGATTTGATGAAAACACCCTGATTTGGTTCAACAAAAACTCCGATTGTACCATCCATGGAACCAGCCAAGATTGCGTGTTAAGTCACGAAATATCCCTGATTTTAAACTGATTTTACCAGCGCAGAGACGGATACCTCTGGCTCAGGCCAGGCTGTGCGTTTTGTGGGGAGTCATGTTGAGCTGTTGGATTTTTCCAACCAAAAAAATCATGCGGATTTGGGGATTCTCATCAGCAAAACTCGATGATTCATAGCAATCTCACACGTTTTTCATACCTTTTAAGACATGATGAATGAATGATCTTCTGGACATTTTGGGCGCTTGAACAGCAATCAAGTTTTGGATTTCCAAAAGCTGAACTGCTGGGAGCGAAGAGCCCAGAGATTTTCCTTGACGCCGAATTGGGACTGCCCCAAAGTCCTCATTTTGGGTGCCAAGTAACATAGCTGGTTGGTGGTTTGGACCATGAAATTTATTTTCCCATATATTGGGAATAATCATCCCAACTGACTTTCATATTTTTCAGAGGGGTTGGAACCACCAACCAGATAGATATGTATGGCATGTCTGCATTTTTGTTTAGTGAGCTGGTTATCATTGGTTATCCTTTGGTGTCCCTGCTTAAATTGTGTCTCAACAATTTAAGCCACCGCTACCCAAACATGGCAACTGAAAATTCACCGACTTTATACATAGAATTGCATGTAATCACATATAATCAACATTTATACATATATAACTATCATGAATTTCCCCATTCAAAGCTCAGGGATTTGGATTCCCAGCTGCCAACTGCCGTGGTCATCTCAAAGCCTTTGTTGTTGTAAAAGGTCTTTGAGTTTTTACAAAAGAACCTCAAATTTGGCGTTGAATTTCAAACCAAAACGTTTTTACTTCCTCACCATTTTTAACAAGATTTCCCTTGAAAGGGGTCTTCAGGGTCAATGGGGTCCTGGGCGCCTTTCACCCCAAGGACCCCTTTCAAAGGAAATTGTGTTTTTTTCACATTTTTTTCTTTCTAACTTAAGGGTTTGTGTTTTGTTTTTGTGCCTCCATACAACATTGCTCCAAAATGCACCTTTACCAAAATGCACTTGGTCAGGGCTGGCAAATTACACCCAACCCATGTGTTTTACCGGCTTAATATTTTACTATTTCCACCATGCTACCAAAATCCTAAGACCTGCAAGGTTCAAGGGTTCAAAGGGAATGAGTTGACACTGTGATAAAGAAGGGGTGTTTTAATGATGTCACAAGTTGATGCCTGATAACTACAACATGTTCATGGTGTCAAAAAATGGCGCCTTCATAGTATCTGTCAAAAAATAACGCCTTAACAGTGTCATGAGACTACGACTACGACGACGACTACGACTACGACTATGACTATGCCTCAGCTTCAGTCAAAAAATGATGCCTTAATGGTGTCATAATGATGCCTCAGTGGTGCCAAATAAGTGATACCTCAATGGTGTCGCAAAAATGATGCCTTAATGGTATCATAATGATGCCTGAGTGGTGTCAAATCAGTGATGCCTCAATGGTGTCACAAAAGAGATGCCTAAATGGTGTCAAAGAAGTGATGCCTTAATGGTGTCAAAGAAGTGTTGCCTTAATGGTGTCACAAAATTGATGCCTTACTGGTGTCAAAAAAGTGATGCCTTAATGGTGTCACAACATTGATGCCGTGGTGGCGTCATGCATTCATGATGCTGTGACAGTGTCATGCAGCAGTGAAGATTGAGATATCCAACAAGTCCAGACCTCAGCGGCGCACGCTGTCAGGATGGAGTTTCCACCCCCTGGGCTTTGCATGGGTATGGCCAAACAAAATCTTGGTTCTTGGGCCATGTTCTTTTGGGCTTGAAAGCTCCCAGGTTCAAAGGTAACAAACACCAGAAAGAACATCCAAAGTCTTCAATGGGTTTCCAACTCTTACCATCTGACATCGATGAAGCACATTTTGTCTCATAGTCTTGGACCCCATCTAAAACTATCCATACTGCTACTGATTGTTTAGTGAAGTGCCAAACCCCACAAAACATGTTTGTCCCTGGATGAAACAGTCATATGGGGGGGTGCCATGGAAGTTTGAGGACACCATCTCTGGGATTCCCCCATGGCATCTTACCTTATCAATTTCATGGCACCATCACGGCGACACCATCACGGCATCTGATCAATTTCATGGCACCATCACAGCGCCAGTAAAAGACACCATCACGGCATCTGTTCAATTTCATGGCACCATTACGGCGCCAGTAAAAGACACCATCACGGCATCTCATCAATTTCATGGCACCATGAGAAACCAGGTGTATAACCCCCATTAGATCCCATTAATAATAGATTGTTATCTAGCGTAAACCATAGTTAACAGATATATCTATAACTTTAATAGATTAGGAGTTATATACATCCCATTAAAAGACACCATCACGGCATCTTATCAATTTCATGGCACCATCACGGCGCCAGAAAAAATACACCATCACGGCATCTTGCCCACTTTCTTGAGGCCCGGGTTCCTGCCTGAACTTGGTGAAGCGCATGGAGTTGTGTTCCTTGGCCTTGGCCGGATGCAGCGTGGCGCCAGGGAACCCATGGGCAAGAACATGTATGACTCCATTCCACCCAACTGCTGGCTGGCTTTTTTTGGCCACCGAGCTTTCAATCCGATGGGAGTATGCTGGGGATGAAAGATGTTGACCAAATCATATGGGTATGGCTCAAAATATTGAATCTGACACATCCATTCCCTATGGCATTCAATCTTTTTGATGGTGATTGCGAACTATGACCTTTCAAACTGCTAAACATCAATCTCCCCAACTCGACTTTTCAAGCAGGTTTGAACCGGAACATGTTAGAACTGAATCAATGTAACACTGGTTTTATTTCGCTATGATGTCGTGTCAATAGATCGTAATTAAGCACATAGGATTTATTTCTCCTATTTTCCCTCAAATTTCAAATCTGCTTGACTTGGCCACCATCACATGTTGCAAAATGTTGCAAACAAAACATTTAGAATCTTCCAGAAATGACAAGGAATATTTTGGAGGAGAACATTAACAAGCAATGAGTTATATAATGATTCAGCTCAAAATGTTTGCAACATCTGATGGCAGCTACAGCTCCTGTGCATTGGTGCTGGCTACAGCTTCTGTGCGTTGACTGCCGTGATGTGCTATGTGACTGTGTGATAGGGTGTCTTTTGAATTGTTGATGTCTGCCAGCGAGAGTTCTTGAACCGCTGAGATCAGGGTGAAGTGGCATCTTGTTGCCAGGATTGAGCACTCAATTGGTGCAGCCCTTTGTTCATTGAAAAAAGTGAAAGCGCTTGATTCATGTGGTGCATCATTTTCAACGAACGTTGGAAACAAAAAACGATGAAGTTTGAAGAACAAGTTTTTCGACGGATTCTTGAGCATAAGGGAACAAAAAAAACGCCGGATTTTCTAGAAGAAGAGCATGCTGGATTTTCCGACGGATTTTGCAGAACAAGATTTCCGACGGATTTTTGAACATAAGGGAACAAAAAAAACCGTCGGATTTTTCTAGAAGAAGAGCATGCTGGATTTTCGATGGATCGAGCAGCCCACCATTGATTATCAACAAATCCTTGTTGCTCAGGCTCTTGTGTGGGAGATCTGCAGAATAAAATTTTATTCAACGGATCTTTGTGCGGGTCCTGAGATCCATGGGATTTGGCGCTGGTGGAGATTAGACGCAGACATCTGAGGATTATCAGGGCCCTGGGCCAAGATCTAAAGAATAAAATTTTATTCAACAGTTCTTTGGCATCAGCTTATCTGTAGTAGAGTTCTGTTGTAACCAACCACCCCCTCTTCTCAGAGGTTTTCTGTGATCCTTGTCTTTTGGGGTTATCCGTTGATTTCTGTTCATCCATCGTTTTTGGTTATCTGTCGTTTTTTTTTCATCCGTCGGCTTTTTGATATGCGTCGATTTCTGTTCATCCGTCGGTTTTTTGTGATCCGTCGATTTCTTAGTTTCTGTCGATTTCTCTGATTCATGAGTTTCCTTTTATCCATATGTGGATTCTGCCAACGATGCGGTGCTTGCTGTCAGAGGTCTTGGTGATAGCGAGGTGCAGCCAGTCTGTTTGATGGTAGCTAGTACCTGCTGTCAGACGTCTGGGTGAAAGTGAGGTGCAGGCCGCAGACATCAACAATTCAAAAAACACCCTATCACACAGTCACATAGCACATCACGGCAGTCAACGCACAGAAGCTGTAGCCAGCACCAATGCACAGGAGCTGTAGCTGCCATCAGATGTTGCAAACATTTTGAGCTGAATCATTATATAACTCATTGCTTGTTAATGTTCTCCTCCAAAATATTCCTTGTCATTTCTGGAAGATTCTAAATGTTTTGTTTGCAACATTTTGCAACATGTGATGGTGGCCAAGCAGCGTGTACCAGTTTTATGTCAAAGTAGATTTGAAATTTGAGGGAAAATAGGAGAAAAAAATCCTATCCGCTTAATTATGATCTGTTGACACGACATCATAGCGAAATAAAACCAGTGTTACATTGATTCAGTTCTAACATGTTCCGGTTCAAACCTGCTTGAAAAGTCGAGTTGGGGAGATTGATGTTTAGCAGTTTGAAAGGTCATAGTTCGCAATCACCATCACAAAGATTGAATGCCATATAGGGAATCGATGTGTCAGATTCAATATTTTGAGCCATACCCATATGATTTGGTCAACATCTTTCATCCCCAGCATACTCCCATCGGATTGAAAGCTCGGTGGCCAAAAAAAGCCTGCCAGCAGTTGGGTGGAATGGAGTCATACATGTTCTTGCCCATGGGTTCCCTGGCGCCACGCTGCATCCGACCAAGGCCAAGGAACACAACTCCATGCGCTTCACCAAGTTCAGGCAGGAATCCGGGCCTCAAGAAAGTGGGCAAGATGCCGTGATGGTGTCTTTTTCTGGCGCCGTGATGGTGCCATGAAATTGATAAGATGCCGTGATGGTGTCTTTTAATGGGATGTATATAACTCCTAATCTATTAAAGTTATAGATATATCTGTTGACTATGGTTTACGCTAGATAACAATCTATTATTAATGGGATTTAATGGGGGTTATACACCTGGTTTCTCATGGTGCCATGAAATTGATCAGATGCCGTGATGGTGTCTTTTACTGGCGCCGTAATGGTGCCATGAAATTGATAAGATGCCGTGATGGTGTCTTTTACTGGCGCTGTGATGGTGCCATGAAATTGATCAGATGCCGTGATGGTGTCGCCGTGATGGTGCCATGAAATTGATAAGGTAAGATGCCATGGGGGAATCCCAGAGATGGTGTCCTCAAACTTCCATGGCACCCCCCCATATGACTGTTTCATCCAGGGACAAACATGTTTTGTGGGGTTTGGCACTTCACTAAACAATCAGTAGCAGTATGGATAGTTTTAGATGGGGTCCAAGAGTATGAGACAAAATGTGCTTCATCGATGTCAGATGGTAAGAGTTGGAAAACCCATTGAAGACTTTGGATGTTCTTTCTGGTGTTTGTTACCTTTGAACCTGGGAGCTTTCAAGCCCAAAAGAACATGGCCCAAGAACCAAGATTTTGTCTGGCCATACCCATGTAAAGCACAGGGGGTGGAAACTCCATCCTGACAGCGTGCGCCGCTGAGGTCTGGACTTGGTGGATATCTCAATCTTCACTGCTGCATGACACTGTCACAGCATCATGAATGCATGACGCCACCACGCCATCAATGTTGTGACACCATTAAGGCATCACTTTTTTGACACCCAGTAAGGCATCAATTTTGTGACACCATTAAGGCAACACTTCTTTGACACCATTAAGGCATCACTTCTTTGACACCATTTAGGCATCTCTTTTGTGACACCATTGAGGCATCACTGATTTGACACCACTCAGGCATCATTATGACACAATTAAGGCATCATTTTTGCGACACCATTGAGGTATCACTTATTTGGCACCACTGAGGCATCATTATGACACCATTAAGGCATCATTTTTTGACTGAGGCTGAGGCATAGTCGTAGTCGTAGTCGTTGTCGTAGTCGTAGTCTCATGACACTGTTAAGGCGTTATTTTTTGACAGATACTATTAAGGCGCCATTTTTTGAGACCATGAACATGTTGTAGTTATCAGGCATCAACTTGTGACATCATTAAAACACCGCTTCTTTATCACAGTGTCAACTCATTCCCTTTGAACCCTTGAACCTTGCAGGTCTTAGGATTTTGGTAGCATGGTGGAAATAGTAAAATATTAAGCCGGTAAAACACATGGGTTGGGTGCAATTTGCCAGCCCTGACCACGTGCATTTTGGTAAAGGCGCATTCTGGGGCAATGTTGTGTGGAGGCACAAAAACAAAACACAAACCCTTAAGTTAGAAAGAAAAAAATGTGAAAAAAAAACACAATTTCCTTTGCAAGGGGTCCTTGGGGTGAAAGGCGCCCAGGACCCCATTGACCCTGAGGACCCCTTTCAAGGGAAATCTTGTTAAAAATGGCGAGCAAGTAAAAACGTTTTGGTTTGAAATTCAAAGCCAAATTTGAGGTTCTTTTGTAAAAACTCAAAGACCTTTTACAACAACAAAGGCTTCTCATCAGAGGTCACGAAGAGCAACTTCAACCGCGCGTGCCTACCAGATGCCATTAGGATCCGCGGGTCAGAACTGGGCCGGTGAGGGCCTGCATCGGCCTGCGTCGTGAGAACAAAAAAACCCAGGTTCGAAGGTGTTCGAGGCAAGTGTTCAGAACAATTGGGGAGAATTTCAACTTAGGCCCCCAGAAAGAAACAACAGAAACATGTAGCGAAGCGAAACATGTACCTTGAAGGATTCAAAACCAACGGGGTCATCCTTGGTGGAATCCCCCTTGCGAATTGTCGATTGTAATGGAAAGAAATTGACGTCAAATCACGTGTTTTTTAACGTGTTTAATCAGATGAATATGAATTGACATATCAATCCGGAAATGTAGGGTCCGTACATCATCTGGGATCAAGATGGATCCGCAGTTGGTTTGGATCACGATGGATGAATCCATTTTAAATCATGCTAAATCCATATTATCACCCCCCATCTTCGTCAGCAAAATCTACTATTTGGATCTATTTGGGTTTTAAAATATTTAAGTTCACTTCATTCCACCATCATTGGGTCTCACTTTGTTCACCGTTTTTTATCTCGAAGAGGAACTATTCGGACCTCGGAGTGCAGGCTCCGGGAGGGGCGCGTTTCAGGCTCCGGGGATAATTGGCACTGCCAAGTAGGACAGGGTTTGTCTGAAAATACGGTAATACCATAAAACCGCATAGTAAGACCATGTAATATCCAAGACGAATCGGCATTTTGTATCTGGAAACGAACTGGGAACATGTGACCAGTTGAATTCCCAGTTGTGGATCATCCAAAGGATGCCCCAGGAGGATGCCCCAGCTGCGCGCCAGGAACCCCCGTATCAGTACTTGCAACTTGGATGGGAAACGGTCTGAGTTTTGCCGCGCCAAGTAGGTTCAGTATCATATGTGTTGATGACCTGATGACCACTATGATCATTGCAATTATATGCAATTATTATCAAAAATATCAAAATCAGGATTTACACGCACACACACACACATATATATAGTACATATTTATTGCCATCAAACATCAGTATTTTTCATTTTGATTGCTACTATAGGACATGCCATAGGGCACTTTGCATCGCCATGCGTTACTCTCTGTTGTCCAGGACAAGGTACCAATCCTTTGGTACAGATCCCATTTCTGAACTGTCGATTAGTCATATCAAATTCATTTTTTTTGTTGCTGAAGTCCTTGTTTTGTTGACCGGATACTGTCAAGTCCACTTCTTTATGTGTGTGTCGAATCCCGCTTAAACTCACAGATATAGGGCACAAATCCGTGAAACGTTCCTTTTCCCTGGCTAGAATCCCTGTTTTGTTTGTTTTTCATGCTTCAAATCTACGATTTTTGGTTCACCCCAGACCTCCCCCATGGTTTCGCCCTGGCGCCTAAGGCAGTGGCAGTTGGCCGAGACCTGCGGTCTGCCATTGGCGGCCCTGGCGGCGGAGTTCGCCATGCTGCCGGAGATCATCTCGAGAGGTGGCTTGGGGCTTGGATATCATGTCATTTAAGTAGCACTTATTGAAGTTGGAGAAATTTTTAAAAGTTTTTTTTTTAAGACTTGTTTTTGAGGTTTGATTTTTTGGAGATATCCGTTTCGGGGAGAATTGGACGGAATTGGTAGAGATGTAGATCGACCTAGATGTAATCGAGACAGAAAAAGCAGATGGTATAAACATACATACTGATATATGCTTGTTGTATGTGTTTGGTACCATTAAAAACTGGTCATAGACAGTAGCCACCTTTAACACTGTTTGGATCTCCCATGTTCTTCGCCGAAACCTTGGTGTGACATACAAACAGTTCAAAAGGCAACCGGCTGGGGTTGAAAGAGGCCTGGTGTGGTGCAGGTCTGCGGGGCGTTTTCATGATCTGGAGCCTTTACATCATGGGCAATTTCTTGGCGGTGGGCGTTCCTCAGCTTCAGCATGCTTCGCCTCACCCGCGCTCTGCCTCTGCGGTCCACCAGGTGCTGAGTTTGTTCCAAGTGGCGCCGGTGAAGCGACGCTGCTGGGGCTTTTTTCGGGAGAACTCCTTCGACTACAAGCGCTTCGTAGGTCGGGCGGCCCATGTCTCTGTGGTTCTCTCTCTCTCTCTCCCTCCCTCCCTCCCTCCCTCCCTCCCTCCCTCGTCTCTATGCAGACTTTATACATATATATATAATATTATATAATATAATATTGTATAATATTATATATAGTAAGTAACCAGCAGATAGAAAATTCAGGATTGCCAGGTCAACAGATAGATAGGACAAAAAAGCAGAGATATAGAATATTATTCTTACCCAATAGGTTGAAATGATCAATTTCCGATAATTCCTGCAACTAAATCAAGTTAAAATGAACACTTTCAATGATTATGTGTGCCATTTCCTGCAACTAATTCAGGTTAAAATGAACAATTTCAATGATTATGTGTGTGATTTACTGCAACTAATTGATATATTTTTGCATGCCACAGGGCTGGCACACAATCTTAAGGAAAATCCATCCAAAATCACCAAAACCCTTGTAAAAACCATAGCACCAGCAGATAGAATATTTTAATATTCTATCTGCAAGTTCTTTACCCAATAGGTTGATGTTGACATTTTTTTTTAAAAAAAGAAGACCAGCTTGTTATTCTATCTGCTGGTTGCTTACTATATCTATATCTATATATATACATATGTTATATGAATCATTTTGAACGCGTCATCCCATATAATTACAGAAGAAGTTATGGTCTTGTTCATTGCAAGTAGCTGTAACACGAATTAACGATGTAAAATGGAAGGTGTGCACCACTAAAACTCTGCAGCAATGGCTGAAGTTTGCTGTGGCTGAGTCCCATGTACAGATCTCGCCATGCCTGTCCCTGACCATGCTTGCACCGCTGCCCCCTCAAACCGACGATGATGTTATCGACACCTTCTTGGCTGCGCCGGCCCTGCCCCCAGCGCCGGCCCTGCCCCCAGCGCCGGCTGCACCAGTGGCACCCCCAAGTGCGATCACAGATGATCTGGCCTTGGAAGATTTTCTCGCAAGCCCTCCAGTCACTGAGATTTGAAGTGGGGGGCACTGCCTCATAAGTCTTGTGATGGATATGAAGCAGCCAGCATGAAATCTGGGAGTTGCATCTTATTTTTCAGGGGGCCGGATGGGATATATCAAGCCCTTCTTCCCAGGTGAAAGATGACGCGGTCCTCTCCGCCTGCCTGGGCCCACCGCCGGTACCCCGCGATGACCTGGTGATGGCCGCCTGTTGCGCCCCGCCACCGCCCAGGGACGATGTCATCATGGCCAGCTGCATGGCTGCGCCCCCGGTGCCGGTGCCATCGGCGCCGCCGGTGCCGTTCTACGACCCCCTGGCGGCGCCACCGTGGCCGCGGATCCTGGCACCGTCCCTGCGGCAGCAGCGCCAGGAGCGGATGAATCCCTTAGGCTCAGGCGGTTGGCGCTCAGGGCTGTCAGTGGTGCAGGAGGATTTTCCCAGACAAACCAGCAGCTGGGGCTGAATTGAATGCTTTGATCTTGTACATGTTCAAAGAGTGGGTGCGATCAATAGATAGATAGATAGATAGATAGGATAGGATAGGATAGGATAGGATAGATAGATAGATAGATAGATAGATAGAGATATATATGGTTTCAAGTATATTTATATGATGTCAGGTGATTTGCATAAGTGGTTGCAGAAGGGCCATAAGGGATTGAACAACTTAGTCACCTCTTCAGGAGTTTGTTGCATCCTTTGCATTTTGGGTTGTTAGCTTGGTCCCAAGCCTGAGTGCAAGTCTGGAACCCAGGTACAGATGACTTCCTCCTGTCCTTTGGCAGCAGTGCATGCAGGAGTCTAAGGTCAGAGTTTCAAATTGAATGGGATACCCTCTGGTAATTTAACATAACTATGTAAAATCACAATTTTTCATGGGACAATTCACTATAAATGGTGATTTTCAATAGCTATTTTGACATAACCAGAGGGTACACTTTTCCAGAACTTCAAGGTCGGTTCCCTGGAAGATATATCCAACATCAGGTTGATCAGTGGGAGTTGGGGATTACTGCAGTGAAAGATTCACCTTGCCAGGAAAGTGAGAAATCAAGCATCGCATCTCCCAATGATCATATTTTATGTTAGATTGTAATCCCATGCAGCAAATGGAACATCAAGTATCTGCTATATTCCCAGCTAGTATCATCCAACTGAGAGAACATCTAGATAAAATCAAGTATATTCCCAGCTATTCCAAGTTGTATATCCCAGATAGTACATGGAACATCAAGTATCATCTAGTATCCAACTGATATTCCCATTGGGTCCTGTGGAGACCCAGCCGAGGAAAGCCATCCTGGATGATGCCTTAGCGCCCTCGCCGGCCACCACGCTGGGCACCCTGGGCACGCTGGGCGCGCGGGGCGCACGGGGATATCAGGTGGGATATCAGCTGTGGTTCCTGCACAAACCCTCCGGTCATTTGCCACATCTAATACCCTCTGGTAAATTAACATAGACCCTGGCAAATAGGACTTGGAAGATTAGTTTCCATTAAAGATTGGTTATTTTCAGGGTCTATGTTTATTTAACAGAGGGTACTATAACTTAAGAATGTCGTTTTAGGCCTGTGAGGGGGCGTTTCTGTTGGGAACGAAAACCGGGTATTTAATGGTATTTGCCAGGGCCACTTTGGACATTTGCAACATATGTATGGAATATGTTTTGTGAAATTTGGTTTGCTTCAGGTCAGTTCATCAGCTTCTCTAACATGATTTCCAATGGTTGGGCCCAAACCAACAGACACAGGCCCAACGTGTTTTCTTGAACTACAACTATGGAAAATCACCATTTTCAATAGGTCCATAGGTAAATCATCGATGCATGGGCCATTTATCATAGTTATGTTACATAAATGCTAGACGGTATGTCCAAGTGACAAACACACACACACACATATATATATATCAATACATCCTAGGGTACACTGACATAGATGTGGAGTTTTCCAATGGGGAAATCCCTTCGGAAAGTGGTTTAGATTCATGGTGGGTTTTCCACATTTGCTAGTGTATTGGAGGGTAAACATATGACAACAGCTTAGTGGAGTTGTACCATACTGGCCTTTAGCTCTGCTGAACTTCTTGAGAAGGCAATAGAGAGAGAGAGAGAGGTATATCATGGTATATATCAATAGTCATGAATTATTCAGTAATGTAACTTTTAGTAACTATATTTTTCTTCCGGGAGCAAAGGTGACTCCTAGACCCTAGCAATTGCTATTTGCGAAATGAAGTAGTTTAGGACTGGCGCCAGATGGCACCAGTATCTGCTTTTGTTTGTACATGTATATCCGAGCATGCACGCACGCAAATACACATACAATACATTGGCATTTGAAAACAATAACATACTCATATCTCAAGACAGATATGTACACAAAAACGCATGTAGAACATTGTAGAATCGTATAAAATCCTACAGCCGCATGTCATGTGTTTTGCATCGTTTTGCTATAGGCGCTTGGCATGTTCGTTGCACCCGACGTGGCAGGTGCCTCCTGGAAGCCCTTTGAACTCCCAGGAGTCACAGGACGACCTCGCCTTAGCCAGCATCTTGGGCTCCCCTAAGCGCGCCCGCGGCAGCGGCGCGCTCCTGCGGCTGCTTGGGCGCTTGGACGGGGCCGGCGTGGAGGGGACCTGGCAGAGCAGACGAACGCCCAAGGCGAATCGGAGGAGCTCGGGGGAGTTGGGATATGTTGGGACGGAGGGAGATGGAGTTGTCTTACTTGCAGATGGCATATCATGGTGTTTTAGCAAGGAACATTTGGGTCACAAACAATGGTGGATATAGTATGATATAGTGAGGACAGAGGGATGTTAACTTTAGCACTTTGTTTGACCCTATGTTCTTTCGTCCTTTCCAGATTGTTGTTAGGGGCCCCAATCCCCATGAGTAGCACTAGGCTTGCCAGAATATACAATTTGGGTAGTGCACAGCCTCTGTTAATTCAACTCGGCAATGGAAAAACCCAGTTGACAGGTGATCCCACCAACACTCCACTGATGCAGGGCTTTCCCGGTCAGCCATGTTTGAATGCCTGAAAGCATTCCCATGCCTGTCTGGATGATTTGTAGCCATACACTACTCAAGATGTTTTCAACCTTTGTAGACTTATATAGATGGGTTTGCCAGATCACCCAACCAAGAGTTACCCTTTGGTAACTGAACATAGCTATGGTCAATTTCTAATTTACAGCAAATTTACCTCGTAAAGAGTGTGATTTTTCCATAGCTATCTTAAACAGCACTAGAGGGTAATTCCATTCATCACCATCCATCATCATCACCATTTTTAAAGCATTCATCATCATTATCAACCATTATGAATCAGTATGAACCATGATTACCCCCCTTTTTTAAAGGCCAACACCAAGACACCAAGACAACAAAGCCCGCAGGAAGGATGCGCTGAGTCAAGTCCTTGAGTCCTTGTCGCCCTCGGCCGATGATGTGGCGCTGGCCAAAGTGCTGGGTCAGTCGCAAGCGCCGCAGATTCCACGCGCCTTGGATGCTGTTGCTGGGAACTACCCCTCTGGTTGGGAAATTTCCGAGAAAAATGGGGCTGAGAGATAGAGATATTTCCCTGCAGATATTCAACATGATTCAGCAACACACACACACATATATTTCATGAGACCTCCATTGTACACACAATCACACCCACACACAAACACATCTATGCATCTATACATCTATGTATGCATACCTATTCATATACATAGATTCCTTTCCTGTAGATATCAACTTGCGCAACTTCCAAGGATCGGTGCTTTTGTCGAAGGTCTCGGACCTGTTGGAGCGCCACTGCGCCGTGCGCCGCCTGCACCAGGCGGAGCTGGTCTGCGGGGGCGCCCGGGGCCCGGCGCCCAACCAGTTCTGCCAACCCGTGGGGCTGGCCGTAGCACCGGTGATCCGCTGGGGATATGGCCATGGCAGAGGGTGAACAATGGAAAAAAGTGGTGGTTTTTTTTTGAGGATCTGGGAAAATCTCCTGGAAATCCTCTATAACTTATATAACTTATATATAACTTGAAAAACTTGGTGTTTCTTCCAGGCTTGGGATTTTGTGCTGAAAACTGAACGAGCCTAAACGTGTGAAGATATGTGAGTGTTTGGGCCTTTTTGCATATTGTGGTTGCATCGTTCAGCAGCATTACTATTTTTGGATCCTTCAGAATTCAATTCCTGCTTGGAATTGGTTGAAATCTGCCAGTCCGCTACTCATGATTAGGCCTGATTTAGAACATGTAAAACCACAGATCGATGGGGTTGTATAGCCACTTAGAGCAGAAAACTCGAATCTCCCAGTTCCAAGTCTTGTGCATATGACTTCCCAAACAGGGCATGGTGGTGTTTTTCTTCAACCTACTCCAGCGGTCTACGATGGATGATGGATGGGAGCCGATGATTCCACTTCGTCGACCCCCAAACTCAGGAACCAGACAAAAATCCATCAAAACCCCAGTTTGGCTTGACCTATTTTCATCTATTTTCCAAGTGTCAACAAGATGGAACAGTAACATACCACAGAGAGAGTATCTGACAGTCCTAAAATCCTAAGGCCTGAACTTCATCAAACTTTTGAAAGGACATGTCCATCATGGATCGCCTTCATATTGACGATATTGGTCTATATTCATCCGTATTCAGCTTCATACACATATATATCATATATATATATACATAGAGTGTATATGTATATGTATATGTAAATGTATATGTATATGTATATGTATATGTATATGTGCATGTGAATGTGTATGTGTATGTGTATGTGTATGTGTATATACATGCATGCATACATACATACATACATACATACATACATGAATTCCATGTCCCTCGCGTTTCTGTCTTTTTGTGGGCTAATCCCAGAAATGGTCCCAGGGAATATTTGTAGTTGTAACCCCCCCGGGGTTTAGGGCGAAAAAAATCCAAAGCCAATGCCATTTTGATGATCTTTTTCGGATGTCTTCTGATTCCACCATTTTTTCTTACAATTTTTCATCACTTAAATCGTCATTTTCCCATATTTTCCCATTGACAAAAACCACCCAGGATGGCACTCTCTATGTGGCTGACTGCGGCAACCGCCGCGTGGTGCGCGTAGGTCCCGAGGTGGAGGTCTTTGGGGAGGCACCGGAGCCGCTGGAGGGTAGCAACCAAGGGATTAACCAAGGGATTCACCATGGGATTAGCTATAAATTTAGGATTTATTGTATTTTTTTTCCGATCTCCAGGGTCCTTTTACCTAAGAAACATGGGCGTTTAACTGGGATTCTCCGACGTTTTTCCTTGCAACCAGGGCTGGCCGAATCCCATTGACGTGGTTTTTGCAGAGACGGCGGCAGGAGAGAGTGGACGTCCAGGGGGGCCCCCTTTATGGGTTGATTGAGGTTTCCCTCTGGTAATTCAACATAGCTATTGAAAATGTCCCAATCGAAATAGTGGATTTACCCAGCTATAAAATGGTCATTTTCCATAGTTATGTTGGCCCGTTTACCGGAGGTGAACACCGCCTCCAGGGTGGTTTTTTCCGACCCTGGGGAGACCTTGAGACCTTGCCGCGACCCCAGGAAGTTGTTTGCTGGTCTCGGCTGGGAATGGCGCTCATCTCTTGGATCCGGAGACAAAGAGTTCCTTGGATAAGACCTATGTTTCCAGAGAACACCAATAATGTGACATGATAATTACCATCTGATTATTAAACAGTTCGCCATGGAAAGATCCACCATTTTTAAGAACGGTAAACCATCTATTTCTATGGGCCATCTATACCATGGCTATGTTAAATAACCAGAGGGTAATGCATATTAATGCCACTTAGGGACCATCAGCCCTTGTTTTCCCTTGTTTAGGACTTATTAAGTGCATAAAACTTTGCTTTCTTGGATGGTTGAGCAGTCGGTGCCAGTGTTTCCTAAATTTTTGGGTGGTGACTTTGCACACATATACACCTAAAACTATTTGAAACACATTCACAAAGCACATCCAGCAACCCCGGAAATTCATTTTTCAGTCAAATCCATTTAAAACATAGTGAGATAAAGATCTGATCATATACATATTAATATGTTTTTCTACATGTGTACATATATATATTATGTATATATCTATCTAATCTACATCCAAAACTATATAGACTATATACTAATAGTAATCTAAATCTATAGATGTAAATATAGTAGCATATAGAAAAATGGATTATAATGGATTACTATTAGATATCTATATCTAAGTCTACCATTTTTCCGAGGCTTCGACGTGGTGGCCGAGGGATGCCTCCCGGCGGGGCTGGCCTTGGAGGCCTCTGGCAGCCTCCTCTTCGCCGATGCCTACGCAGCTCGGTCGAATGCCAGGGGGAAATCCGTGGGAAATCCATGGGAATTCCATGGTTAATAGTGATTAATAGTGGTGAATAGTGGTTAATATTGGTGATTAGTGGTGTTTTTTTTCATGGTGATGGATGGTTAATGATGACTCATGGTGATTGATGGTTAGTAGTGGTGATTAATGGAACACACACACACACACACATATATATATATAGGAATTCAATCCTCCTGGTAAGGATTTGATTTGAAAACACATGAGTTTTAAAGAATCCTCTTTGGGCATGTTTTTCCTTGAATTCGTTCACTTTTGACCGGCTTCCCCATGTTTTTCTTCGCCAAGATCCCCTGTATCTCAAACTCGTAGTTTACATCTTCGGATATCTTCGGTTTGTCAGTTTGTCATATTTTTTTTTTTACAAAATATTGATTACACATACACTTTCTGGTGCTTACATGCCTATTCTTCGTGGGCGACAGGTCTAAGTCACGTAATCTGGCCCAACTATAACAGTGACTTCAAGGAACACCGTTATACAGAGGTATTTTTCCAACTACCGAGGAACACCGTTATACAGAGTTATACATGTCTCTTCAAGGAACAACAATTCACGGCAAATCGCCAGGGCCGCCCCGTTGTTTAGTTGCATTTTTGCAGGAGTCTTTTGTGGGATGATACACATAAATGGTCCTGGCAATGGGATTATGTCAAAAGATGCTCAAAATAAGATTGATTTACTTTTCTATTTTAGGTTTGGATTTTACTTTTCTTTTTGGATGTTGCTATATTAGCGTAATGATAACAAGAAATCCTTAGTAAAACATGTCACGTAGAGACTCCTACTAAGATCTTGCAAGGATAGAAAAGCAAATTCCTATTATGCTCTGGTAATCAAACATGGCTTGCAGAGAAATCCGCCATTTAGTTCATTGATTTTCCTAACTAGAAACCTCCATTTAGTTTGAGGATTTCCCAACCAGCCATGTTTGATTACCGATTACCAAAGGGTAATTATCCCATCAGTACTAAAAAGTAAAATATATAATCCTACTAATGATGGTGCTTCCTAAGATAGAAAAGTAAGATCCAATATATATATATATTATATAAATATGTCCCCATTGTATCTATATATCCCATAGCAAAGTCAAATCCAAGATGGAGGCCTGATGTTCCCCCATAAACCATGGTTGATCAGCTTAGCCAACTTAGCTATCGATTGGGGGCCCCTTGTAACGACCCCAAGGACCACTGCGTGGTTCGCTGCGCCTGGCGCTCCGGTGGCGCCTCCCGGAAGGTCGTCGCTGGCGGCGCTGGCGGCCGGGAAACGCGGCTCCAGCGTCCCTTCGCAGTGGCGCTGGACTTGGACGGGTCGTTGCTGGTCTGCGACAGTGGGCAGCACCGGATTCTGCGCTTCCAGCGCTCGGGCGACACCTATGCGGCTACGGGAGAGGTGCCGAAAAAGAACAGGGGCCAGGGTTGGGGAACAATAGCTTTATGGCCAGCATATAAATGTATATATCAGTATAGTATATCATGTGGTAGATTGAGAAAATAGTTTTCCATACTAGCAACTTTTTAACATAACAACCGTAGATAATTTCAAGCCATTTTGTACGGACATGTATTTGAGGATGGTTGACTACTGGGTGGTTTCTCATCCGGTGGCTTTTTCAGCCAGGTGATCTGCGGCGGTGAACATGGCAAGGGCCTGCACCAACTGAGCTACCCTCGCGGATTGGCACTCGAGCCAGTGGCTTGGTGGCAGAAACTAATTCTTTTGAGGCGAAATGCGGGTTGAAACTGGGGAAAGCAACTAGTTTTTTGAAGTGTCTAGATGTGTCTAGCGTGCTTTCTATACAGAGGACAGTTGCAAGTATTGGTGCTGTAGCGGATATTGACATATATTCGCACCATTTGAGGGGTTACCTTCTGCCACCGACATCCAATGGTTTTGCTCAAGGAACAAGTTGCAGGCTTTTCCTTTTATCCAGGCCCCAAATGCATGTAAAACCTGTCGAAATTTCCAATGTAACAAAGCCTCAAAAATCCAAACATCCGCACGATCCCTCATTCTGGCGTTTAACCCGCAAAAAAGCCACGAGCGGTACTTCTGACAACGTTTGAGTCTTCAACTTCAACCCATTGGGATATGATCCCCATTACCCCCACTCTACTCTATCCCTCTGTCCCAACTCATTGTATCCTCACAACCGGTGAAACCTACCAATTCTGAACTTATTTGGTGGTAAAGACAAGCCAGGATCACTTGCCCCATGATTTCCATTGATTTCCCTGATGTTTCAACAAGTTCCACGATTTCACCTGTCCACACTTTTCCAGGGCAGCGGTGCCCTGCTGATCGCCGACACCTTCAACCACCGGCTGCTGCGTTGGCGTCGCGGCCAGCGCCAGGGGGAGCTGCTCTTCGGGCGCCGGGGGCAGCAGCTGGACCAGCTGAACCGTCCCACGGCCGTGGCCTTCTGCCGCAAGCGGCAGCGACTGCTGGTGGCCGACTCCGGGAATCATCGGATTCTGAGCGTCCCGCTGTAGGCGCAAGCCCGCTATAGGCCGGCTGTTGCTATGATCACTGCAGGTAAGGTGCTACTTAGTGAAACTATACTGTAACTAGAACTATCATGATGTTCATGGGAGGATTATTGAATCAGGATTTTTTGGTGACCACCAGGTTATCAATTCGCCCAGTATAAGTTGGTATAAACCCAGTTCATCCCACTTCTATCTGGACGAAGCGGCACCTCCGGGTGTTGACCTTGGCCATCTGTACCATATGGCCCAACCAGGGGCCCCTTAGCTTAGCGCTTTGCGGCCGACCACCCAGTTTGTTCAGGAGAATCATCCCCAGGCCTTAAAGGCCTGGCCAGATCCCATACAGGTTGGTGATTTTCTGTCACTGCCAGAATATGTCTATGTCTCTTTTAAAATTTGTACGAAAATATACGAAATAGAAACGCGTTTTGTCAACTCTTCACATGTTGACACCGGTTTTGCAGCTGGGATGGTCGTCCGAGTTTAGTTTGATTGGGTGTGCATTGCACCAGTTGCCTTGACTGAAGTGAGGGCTGGGATGCCGTCGTCTCAGCCAGTGCCAGCGCGTAGATCCGAAAAAGTGCAGGGCTGGAAGACCAAGATGACTACAGACATGAGAAGTTTAACCAAACAGACTCGAGGATTAAACATAATGGTTTAACATGGTTTAACCAACAAGAATCAACATTTGATGTACTGCATACACTGGATATACAATGATATCTAATCTAATCTAATCTAATCTAATCTAATAATCTATCTATCTATCTATCTTATCTTATTTTATCTTATCTTAATCTAATCCAATCTAATCCAATCTAATCCAATCTAATCATAATCTAATCTAAATCTAATCTAATCTAATCTAAACTAATCTAAATCTAATCTAATCTAATCTATCAATCAATCAATCTATTTATCTCCGTACAATATATATATATAATCTCACGTCCGAGTCGCCTTTTCCGCATTGATTCTCCTCCAAGTCCAGCAGATGAGTCTGATTGACTTGGGAAATTTGATCGCTGAACAATTTCTGTAGGCATTCGGGAAAAAAACCTTTTGAGCAACCAATTGAAAACCATGAAAACAAGACCATTAGAATCCATTAGAATCCATTAGAATCCATTAGAATCCATTAGAATCCATTAGAATCCATTAGAATCCATTAGAATCCATTACAATTCATTAGAATCCATTAGAATCCATTAGAATCCATTAGAATCCAGTAGAATCCATTAATACAACACCATTCAAAACAAACAACATCGACATGTGTTTTTTAAAATATGGTGTACTTATACCAAACGGTTTTATATCAAACGGTTTTCGGTGTTTCGTTTTTTTTCTGAAACATCTCAGTGTTTTTTTTTGGGGTTATAACCTCTTATGATAATGGGTCCTTCGTACTGGGATATTATAAACCAAAAAAAACATGGTTATATAAGCCATAGTATAATCTTAACCTATTATGATTATTTAAACCCAAACGGTGGGATATTTCTAATGAACATCTTCCCTGAGGTCCTTTGTACTGGGTCCTCTTCGGCCTGGCCATCCTCATAGCAGCGACCTGGTCATGTCGAAAGTCACGATTATTTCCCACAATATGAATGGGTAAAAATATATGGAATCATATGGTGATTGAATGGTGATTTGATGGATTTTAATGGCATTTAATGGTGATTTAATTGTTATTTAATTGTAATTTTCCATGGGATTTACTGGGATATTAATGGGGATGTGATCAATGGGACTGGTACCACCTTTTTTCAAATGGTGATTTTCCTGGGGGATGGTGCGTTTATGGCATGGTTTTGCCCACATTACTGTACACAGAGGTAGAGGTAGAATTTACTTCTTGGCCATTCCGACCCACAGCTGGGCCATTGACACCTACCCACGTCACATCTTGACATTCCTCAGGTAGATGGTGTTAGATGATGTTACCCTCTGGTAAACATACAAAAAGCTATGGAACATCACCATTTTTGATGGGTAAATCAAATCAACTATAAATGGTCATGTTCAATAGCTATGTTTGTTCACCGGTAGATATGATTTGCCACCTTGAATCAGAATCTTTCCCAGACCTTTGCGGGCTTCTCTCCCCAAGAATTCAAGCGGTCCAACTCTCAATTTCTAGTGATGCAGCATCATTTCTACCACGTCAACCCCATTTTTCTTTGTCAGTGAAATCCTCCCCAGACTCAATATTTTTCGGTCATTTTCCTGCTGAAATCCACCAATTTCGAGTGGTGAAGCCAGGTCCTTTCGGTGAAAAAATGCTCTGCCGCCGTCCTTTCACACACCGAGGGTGGCATCACCTGTCGCTTCTTCGCCGACCTGCACGGCTTCCGCAAGCTCCTGAAGGAGACGGAGGAGCTGAGAGGCGGAAAGATGGGATGGTTATCCTCTGTCGATTTAGATATTAATTTAGAAAACGGAACTCCCATTTATAAAAATTATCCCATGAAAACATTGGTAGTTTAGATATATGATATATGATGATTATGTGATATATCAACAAGCCTGTATATATAATGTACTAACATGTTTATAACTATGGAACATCAGCATTTTGATAGGTAAACTCATCAAACTAAATGGATGAAATGGGCAATTTTCCAAAGCAAACTGTTCGATTACCAATGGTAAATTTTCATTGTGATCCTATGGTCATATATGGTGTATATTAATATATGAGATAGCAATATATAGCCTATCGCATGATTGAAGCTTTGTTTGAACTCCCCATGGTATATGATATGGCTACGAGGTCGCCATGGAAACCATGGGCTGTGGCATGATACATTTCCAGAGGGCCTGGAGAAACCGCATGGAATGGGGTGTTTGGAAGATGTTTTCCCCTGCGAAATGGCAACGGCAATGGGTTCCACGTTGGCATTTGGTGGGGGGCTGTCCATGTGAGATTTCAGATTTCAGCACATATACACCCTTCCTGAAAAATAACATGCAACCTGGAAGTTGCACTTTCCATTTGGAACAATTATTTTTCCAAGGCCATTCTTATTCTGTATTTTTCTTCAGGTGGTAAAACACATAATTACTGTAATACATATACATATATCTTCATATATCTTCATATATCTTCCAAAATCCTTGAAGGATTTGAAGGCACCCCCATTGATGTATTCCCCCAGTGGCCTCCGAGTATCCTTGGTGCTTTCTGAAAGCGGCCAGGGCCACTGAACGGCACAGTGCCGAGTACATCCCCCAGTCTTGAGCCAAGATGGGCGTGGGAGGACGGGGAAAAGTGATGAAAAGTGGACACAGGAAGATGTTTTTCACAATGTTGTATACATCATCTTGATTCACCTTGTATAGGCCCATTCTTTCTGGGTTACCATCTGGTTATTTAACATAGCCATGGAAAATCACAATTTTTAACAGGTAATCCATCTATTTCTATGGGCCACTTTCCATGGCCATGTTAAATAACCAGAGGGTATGGGTCAGGTCGTGGCTGCTTCTACATCATGGCTTTGCGTTGGATGGGCTATCGACACTGCTACTTGGGCGCTAATGGAGAGTTTCATATTAATCGTTGATAACTTTTTATTTTAATTTTATATTTTAACTATATATATATGTACATACATCATTTTATATGTTTATTTATTTGCATGTGTATATATGTATATATGTATATTTAAGATATATATATATATATATTATAGTTATACCCTAGTGTTCCAAATACCTTCTGAGAAGGTGTTTGACCCCTCCAAAAGCCAGGCCTGAAAAACTGTTTGAGAAGGCAAACCTTGTTGCAGCAAGGTTTCAACCAATAGAGACGGGTTAACAATTCCTCCTTTCTTAATCGTAATGAATAATACTAATATAATATATATAATGATAATATAATATAACTGTCAATCACTATTAATCACTAATACTCACTATTATTGATCACTATTATTGATCACTGTTGTTATATAACTATCAATCATTATGAATCACTATTAATCACTATCAATCATTATGAATCACTATTAATCACCATCAATCATTATGAATCACTATTAATCACCATCAATCATTATGAATCATTATGAATCACTATGAATCAATATGAATCACTATGAATCACTATCAATTATCTTTAATCACTATTATGGATGACTATTAATAATTGATAGTGATTAATAATAGTGATATTTTATTGATAATAGTGATATCACTATTAATAATAATCACCATTAATCACTATCAATTATTATTGAATCACTATGAATCACTATCAATTAATATTAATCACTATTATGGATGACTATTAAACTATATATCACTATTAATATTAATATTAATCACTATGAATCACCATTAATCACTATCAATTATTATGGATTATGAATCACTATTATCAGTATCAATCATTATTAGTCACTATTATGGATTATGGATGACTTATTATGGATTATGGATGACTATTACATTATTATATTATTGATCACTACTATTGATCACTATTATGAATCACTATCAATTAATATTAATCACTATTATGGATGACTTATTAATAATCACTATTATGGATGACTTATTAATAATCACTATTATGGATGACTATTAAATTATATATCACTATTAATATTAATATCAATCACTATGAATCACCATTAATCACTATCAATTATTATGGATTATGAATCACTATTATCAGTATCAATCATTATTAATTACTATTATGGATTAATATTAGTCACTATGACAATTAATATTAATCACTATTATGAATCACTATGAATCACTATCAATTAATATGAAATATTATGGATGACTCTTATGATGATATATTATTCTTCTGTGATTCTCCAAGGCTTCGACCTGCTGCTGCTGATGGTCTTCACCTCGGTCGACCTGGTGATGCTGGCGGCGGAGTGGGGGGGCCTGGCGTCCAGCGGTCGTTTCACCTTTTGGCGCAGATAAATTTGGATCAATCCATGATGATAATTGCAAAAAATCACCATCAAAAATAATGATCAATCCATTTTGATCCATTTATCATTGGATTTTCTGGATCATTGATAATGCTTACTAATGATTACCATCAAAAACTATCATCAACTGATCAGATTACCAATCATTCATAAATTTCGTAATCATAATCTGGATTATCAATGGAACTATCATTGAATTTTCATCATCATCAACTTTTTGGATTTGGTAATGCGTGCTTGGGTGAAAAATTGAACGTGGCAAAAATTCGCACAAAACTCGGGAACATCGCCAACGCACTGTATTTTTAACCTTCCAAATGACCAGGGTCAGTTTGTTTTTTTGGAGGTTTGGTGATTTGACAGAGGAAGCTAACGTAATTGTATCAATGGCTTGGTTTGGGAAACATTTTGCAGCAAATAGCCGTATTTCATAGGAAAATCGATGGTTTCCGGTTCAGATGTTCCCAAGATGATTGGATTGGTTTAAGGGAAAAATTACAGGAAACCATAGATTTTCCCATTAAATATGGGGCTTTCCTGCAGATTTTCCCTTAAACCAATCCATTGACAAGAAAACCAAAATCCGAAGCGTGGTCGCTTCCCAGGCTGGGTTGGATGTGCATCCTGCAATGCCTGGCCTACTGCCGCTGCTTCTTTTGCTGCGTGGCGATGTTGAAGATCCCCATGAAATCGTGGTCGATGGTTCAGATTGGTTAAGATCATGGAAAGGGGGAGTAAGATGATGAAGATCCACCATATTAGTAATTGGTTAAGATTGGTTAAGATTAGTGATGGTTAAGATCACCATAAAATCACCATTAAATCACCATATTAAGATTAGTAGGTTGGTTAAGATGGGAGCCAACTACTAATATGCATCCGGAAATTCATCGGAGCGGCTCCGGTGGGAGTCTGAAGGAGAATCACGGACATTTTGGCACCGGTGGGCATCCACCCGCGATGATATAGACCATCAAGAGCAATTCTTAGGCACCTCATGATATAAACCATCATGATAGTCCTAATACTCATGATATATCCCATGATATATCCCATTATATATCCCACTGTATACCTGACACCGGCTTTTTGTCCAAGACACAGCATTTGGTCACTGAGAGAGCCTGGATGCCCAGCCCCCAGCACAGGTAGTTTCTGGAAAGGCTGCTGTGGCAACTCGGCACTGTTTCGAGGCATTGGAAGGTTTCGGGGCCCCAAACTGTATACTGTGGCAAACCCAATGATAAACCATCCCAGTAACCAACTATTAGGATCTATTGGGGGGATACTTATTTCAGGCTAGCTAGATAGATGAGAGAGATAGACAGAGAGATAGAGAGAGAGAGATAGATAGAAAGAGATGGAGATAGATAAACAGATAAACAAGCAGACATATAGAGAAAGATAAGACAAGACATAGAGAGAGAGAGAGAGACGAGAAGACAGAGAGAGAGAGAGAGAGAGACTCAGAGCCTCCACCACCTTTCGGTCCATTGGTTCGCTCTGCCAGCCAGGCGTCACGACAACTCACCTCTCCTATAGGTTTCCTATCTTTGAAACTTCCGCCGCAGCCTTGTGCGGTACTATGTTAAAATGATAAAACATCATCCCAGATAGTTGATTGGGGGTATACCCCATTAAACTCCAATTCAGGACGGTCAATGATTGGACCGGTTTACCAGGGTTTACCCTATTGCCAGCTATGTTGGCTGAGTTCGTGTCTCCCAAATTTGGCATTTTTTTAACAACACGAAAAGCCAAAACTTCGCAGAAACTGACGATACGAAAACCGCCAGGCTTCCACTTTTTCAAGTGGAAAACACTGTTGGAAACGGCTTAGCTTTCCATCTGAAGTTGGCTCTGGGGGTTCAATCCTACAGGGTCCCGTGCCACTTCCTAGAAGTATAAGTTATTTGGCTAGGTTGGTGCCACTGAGCTTATTTGAACAGTGTTCAAACACCCCCTGTAAGTTGATGATTGTGGGGGGTATGCTATCCAATTTTTTTATTGTGGAGTATCATCCATAAGTTAACCAACCAGTATGACTACAGAATGACCGAGTTTTGAGCACAAAATCGGTGAGTTGTAGCCTCCGTTCCTCACCAATGAGGTATTTGTGGCTACCTATGTTGCACCTCGATATCTGCACTATGCGCACTATGCTGCTTCGTTCCTCTGATGGGCATTCTGCTTTACCTGCTCATTGGCCTAGTAGGCCAGTCATCGCGGGCTGAGTTTCTAGGAGCTGGTCAGTAAACATGACGAAAGCTTATCGCTTTTGACTGCAAGCGAGCTTGCCCCAGCATATTTCTGAGCAGTCTATTACTTAGGGATTCATTATTCCATACTGGTTGGTGGTTTCAAACATTTTTTATTTTCCATTTCATATATTGGGGATGTCATCCTTCCCATTGACGAACTCCATCATTTTTCAAGATGGTTATTGCACCACCAACCAGAATATTATTCCTCAGAAAATCGGGTTTAGTGTAGGTTCACGTGTTGAAACTGTTGGTTTCCGGGATGCCACAGCCTGGAATCGAAAGCCGCCAGCTGTGGCTGCGGTGGGGATGCTGACCCTCATGCTACTGGCTGCAGTTCCATGGCGGTAATACGCTTCGTTTCTTTGAGGAAGGGCTTCATCTTTTTGCATTTTTGCAACTTGGAGGAGTTGATAGGAATTGTTCATATTTTCTTTGAGAGTTTTGCACCCCAAGAGGAAGCGAAAGAATATCGAATGTGATGGGTGGATGCATTTGGGAGGTGAACCTGTGAGGGAAAATGGTGATGGAAGCAATTCAATGGGGATGTAAGCGATGAAACCATTGGGATGGAGAACCCTTCTGGAAACTGCCTTTCTTTGTCCAGTAAGCCACTGGGTTCGCTATCTGAGGCTTTCATTGCACACTTCTGAATTCTAGATTTAGATATGACGGATTACGGATATTGATATTACATGATATTACATGTTCATCATGAAGCACACTGCCGGCGCAGGACATGGACATACATGGACATACCAGCCAACAGATCCAACAGTCTTGCGATGATTGGGGTCCATGGTCCAACACCGGCCACCGGTGGCTGAGGTGCTCTTGTCTTTCACCTGGGCCTTACGATCCTTGGACTCGCTGGAATCGGAGGTGCTTTCGTTTTTTGGCACCTGAAGCAACGGCTATGGTCCATGCTATGGTCAAAGCTATTGAGGAAAATTCATGAAAATTATATATATAATATATATATAATATATATATATAATATATAATATATATATATATATATACAATATATATTATATATATATATTATATATTATATATATATAATCCTATTTTGCTGATCTATGTGCCGGTAGCTGGGGAAACCAGTTTCTAAGATGCTGGGTATTGAATTGCTAGGTCGGAGTGCCAGAAGGTAGGTGTTTACCATGTTTACCTGTCTAAAAGGATTTGGATGTACTGTACCAAAAACATGTGGAAACAGTTGGCAGACATGGGAACACAACTCCGAAGTTGGATTGGTGAAGCTGCACATCATGAACCAGTGTTGGGCCCGATTTTTCGATTACTGAGGCAAAGATCTTGCCCTTTTCCAATCTATTGAGGGCCATAAAGCTCTCACGAACATCTCACTTTTTTCCCCATCATTAGTGAGCCAGCTGTTACAAACCCACCCCAATCACAAAAAATGTAAAGTTTGTAAAGCCACTGGCATCGACCTAGCCGATTTCCTAACTACAGTGACAGTAATGGCTTTTCTGCAAGGGTGGGTAGGATGTTGCAAACATTTCTTGGGTGACAATCTCAGCTAGTACCCTCTGGTTCTTGAACAGTTTGCTGTGGAAAATGGCCTATTTATAGATGATCATGATTGCTGACCTATTAAACATGAATACTTGTCCATAGCTACGTTAAATAACCAGAGGGTAAGTGGATCGAAAACAGTGCAATGAATGGTTAACAAAGGCGTCGTAAGTGGGCTACAGTCATAGTTGCCGACCATTGGCAATCTCACTATGGTCATGCCACTGGGTCAGCCTTGGATTTGTTATATTATGATTCATTGATTTATCTAATCTATCCCATGTGTCTTATCTATCTATATACATATACACACACATATATATATGTATCTAATATATATATAATATATGTATATCTAATATCACTAATATCAATTTAATACCTATATAATAATATTAATCTACAACGTTTCTACCTATCCACCTTTCTACCTATTTATTTTTATTTTTTACCTATCTATCTTTCTCTGTCTACTATTCCTGCGGACATATTATTCATATGTTGCCCAACAGTTTGGTTGGAATTACTACTGTTGCACTACTATTTCCATGGAGCAACGCGTGTTTTCCATCCCCGCATGTACCCCACATAATCATCTATAAATGGGTCATTTTCCATAGCAAACTGTTAAATAACCAGAGGGTACCCAGTAAAATTTTTGTTGTCATCGCTGAGGATATATCCTCAGCTGGCTTACTTGCCACTTCTGCATCGTCTCTCGGCGTTCATTTTGCACGAAAGTTGGACTCATTTTGGGGCCCCATTTGGGGTGTTTATCATCGTTCGCATATATATATATATATAAAATAGATCTATACACATATACTTATATTTGACTGTGGGTAAATAGATATAAATATAGATAGGACAGGTAGGTAGGTAGAACCATTATAGGTTGGATAGATGAGATGGATATTCAATAGATATTAGATAACTATTAGATGTTGGATAGATTGGATAGGACAGATGAGACAGATGGGATAGACTGGACAGATTAGAGAGTTGAATGCTGGAAACATATCACATAGATATACGAAACGGTGGCTTTCCCGCCAGCTATGTTAGATTACCCGCATCATCTTTCGAAAATCAATGTCATCATATAGATCGGTGAAACATCCATGGTGCCCCATTGAGATGACATGAACATATACACATTTTTTTTTAAAGGAAACATACCAATTTTACAAAACCATACTTGTTTGATGTTTTCCGACGTTTCTGGCTATCCCCGTACAGATTCCAGACACAGACCAGAACGTTGATGTTCTCCAACGGCTCGTATCATTTTGCCTGCCTCAGCCACTGCGGGCGGCCTCCTGGTCCGACATGGCCTTGCTGCTCTATCCCTTTCCCCCAGGCCACCGGGGGGGGATGGGCGGAGATGTGATGGTTAGTTAGTGATTAATGATGGTTCATGATGGTTAATGGTTAATGGTGCTTCATGGTGATTAATGGGGATTAATGATTAATAGTGATTCATGATGATGAATGGATTTACCCTGGTAAACATACGATCAACTCCCACCATTTGCCCCGCTTCTGGAAGAGTTCGACGGGATCATCATCATCATCATCATCGTCATCGTCATCATCATCATCATCATCAACAACAACAACATTGGTATGATCATCGTCTTCTTCTAACAGAATCCTTGAAAATTGGTTCAAAATGCACAGTTCCAGCACGTTTGGTCGCACTAACAGTTCAAACAGAATCCTAACAAACCATTGCAAAATGCACAGTTCCAGCAATCTTGTTAGAACGAACAGCTCTAACAGAATCCTTGCTGCAAAATGCACCCACCCCAATGGTGGGATTTCCGCATTTGAGTCAGCTTACAGGAGGGCAAACGCCAAACAGATAGTTTAACGAACACGCAAACATATCCAACAAGACCAAGCTTGGTCATCAGGTGTCAACTAGTGCGCAAAAAGATGTTCGTCATCCAACATTAAGGTGGGCACTTCGAGAATGCCTCTGCTGTTTTTTTTTTAATGAGGGTTAGGTTTGATGCCACTTGTTTTATTCCATAGGAATTGTTATAGTTGACCCATTTCATAGGAACGCAAAAAAAAAACCAACCGGCACTGAACATTTGCGGTTCGGCCTCACTGGAGATGGTGGTTTTCAAGAATGGGTAAGGATGGCCGAAGATGGCCGAAGATTTTAGGCTGGTGAGTTATACACATGTATATATATATACTTGGTGGCTCATCCCACTTAGTAAGTGGATTATAACCCCAATTATAAGTGGATTAACCCTACTTATCCCATTTATAACTGGGGTTATAACTCACTTACTAAGTGGGATGAGCCACCAAGTATAATATTATAGATCTGATTTGGGAGAATGAAAGCAACCACCTGAAGGACCATTTCATAGCTACTACTAGCGTCACCATACCATGCCCCAACCGAATCGGGGCCCAACTGAAACCGAGGCTCGCCCGGCTTCGCCACGGCCTATGCTGTGCGACGACCCATGAACGAGGAGGAGCGGTTCCAGCGAAGATGGCTTGGGGCGGACGGAAAGTGGACGGGTTCAGGGGTCGAATATGGTTAATATGGTTTAATGATGTTTAATGTTAGTTGAAGTTAGGGGATTTTAGATGATTTTAGTGTAGTGGATCTTGACGGATCTTAATTGATTGTGGGTGTGAATGTGGATGTCAGGGTAATTACCAAGGAAAACACAGACATCTCAGGTGAGTTTATGTCTTGCAGGTTGCGCGTGTGTGAAGCATTGTGTTTTTTGGCGGCTAAATGACATAGTTTCTCAGTTTTCTTGCTTTCTCTTAACTCTTAACCTCCAGGTCGATTCAGATGTATTCAGCCTATTGCAGTGACATGCAGTTCCTAAATAGATCCTGGGCAAACCTTGATGGGGTGAATTGGTTGATCTATGTTGATCTTATTAGGAATATCATGCCCAACCCAACGCTGCATATCTAAAATAAATACGACACATATCCCACCTGCATATTAAGTTGGCATGTTCATAGTGTCACTTTGTACACAGTCATCCGACACCTGCATGGGCTGGTTTTTCTGTAATGTCAACCCTGGTTTTCCGTAAATCCCAAACGGCTGTTTAATGCGAGGGGGATACCAAGTAAGTATCATATGATCACTATTTGGATCTATATTTGGATCTATTTGGAGGGTACCCCCCATGATTAATAGACCATATTATCATATATTATCACTGGTTGGTGGTTTCAAACATGAATTTTATTTCCATAATATATGGGATGTCATCCTTCCCATTGACTTTCATATTTTTTCAAGATGGGTAAAACCACCAACCAGATCACTATGTGGAGGGTACCCCCATTTTTTTTCATAAACCATGACCCCATCTGAATCATGGCCAGGAGGAGGACGAAGATATGGAGATTCGGAAGGTGCGTGGCGTCATGGCCGTTTTTTGGCATATCCTTGGCCGGGGGGCCTGAGCATATATTTGTTATATTATATAATGTTATATAATTTTCATTATATTTCATTTTCCTATTACAGTTTATTTTATTACAGTGAGTTATACAGCTTTATATTATGGTGTATAACATGTTTAAAACTATATAATACATATATATGTTTTCTATTAACATATATATATGCACATATATATATATATATTGTTTGTGTTATATTAGTTATATTATTTTTGTCTGAACATGTATTAGCTTTTCTTGTATCATTTATATTATTCTAAAACATAATATTATATTGTATTAGCTTGTATTATATTATAGTTTACTATACTATACATTATGATTATATAATATTGTGCTACATTATGTTTTCTATTTTATATTGTGCTCTGTTATATTGTATTTTATTGTGTTATATTGTATTACATTGTCTTATATGATTGTATTGCATTATCTTATATTATATAATGCTTTATTTATTTTAATGTTTTTAAATTGTAGTATGTTGTTTATTTTCCACTATATTGTTGTATTTTTCCTTTAAGATTGTATTATAATATGGTATAGTATATCATATTCTTATAATATATATAATGTTAACATATCTTATTACACTATACTTTGCGTTATTAGATATTCCGATATTATATTGTATTGTTTTTTGTATGTTATTATAATTTATCAACTTATATCGAATTATATTAGAATAGTTTAAAAACTTAAATATGTTTAATTACATTATATTCAATCATGTTTTATTACACTACATTACATTGTATTGTATTAGCTTATATGATATGTTATGATATAATATAATATAGTTTAATATAATAAAATAGTTTTTAATATAATATAACAGTTTTTAATACAATATGATATAATATAATTTGATATAATATTATATAATTTTATATAATATAATTGTTGTTTAATATAATATAAGATAATATAACATAATATAATTTACTATGATATGATATAATATTATAATACAATATGATATAACATAATACAATATAATAGTTGTTTAATATAATGTAAGATAATATAACATAATATAATATAATATACTATGATATAATATAATATACTATGATATAACATAATATACTATAATATAATATAATATAGTAGTTGTTCAATGTAATATAACATCATTTAATATAATATAATAGTTTTTAATAAAATATAACAGTTTTTAATACAATATAATATAAAATAATATAATATAATATAATATAATTTTATATAATATAATATAATATAATAGTTGTTTAATATAATATAAGATAATATAAGATAATATAACATAATAGAATATACTATGATATAAGATAAGATAATATAATATAATATAACATAATGTAATATAATAGTTTTTAATATTGTATAATATCTTGTTTGTTATATAATGTATTGTAATACAAAGTAACATAATATAGAATAATATAATATTATATTATATTTCACTAAAATGTTTTTTTCATCACCAATATTTCTATTACATTTAATGCACGCATGCTCTTACATTTACACATGCCTATCGTTCTTTCTGCAGGTTGTTTCCCTTACTAAATTGCCATGTCGGGGAGGTCCCAGCAGTGGCACTGGAGCACGGCTTCGATGTTCAACAGGCCCTGGTATTGGAATGGGAAAAAGCAACGGAAGATGGGGATATAACATGATCGAAGGAAGTTTAGAAGTCAAACTTCCGACAATATGGACAGATGGAAAAGCAGAGGTGGGAAGAGTTAGAGAAGCGAAGAGAAGAGAAGAAGAGAGAAGATCAGAGAAGAGAAAGAGTCAGAAGAAAGAAGATGCAGGTGTGCGAAAAGGAAGAAAAGTCGCGAAACACTATGTTTTTCCAATGTTTTTGCGCTCCGGAGGCTCGAAAAGTAGGCTCGCTAAAGCAGCAGGTGTGGAGCCATCTGGCCATATGAGAGATGACAAATTGCGCGCCGCTGTGGCGCGAAGCACATTTCGAAGTCAAAATGTGCAAAGCACCTCCTGTTCGGAGCACTTTTGGAAGTTGAGATGTCGAAAAAGTTCACACCGTTGTGGCGCGAAGCACATTTCGCTTTAGACAGATGGAGTGGAGAAATCGTAAAACGCATTGGTACCAGGCCGTCAGCTCTGCACTCAACTTTCCATTTTTGAAGGAAGTCTCGCAAAATTGCTTTGTGCAGTCTCGCAGAAAAGCTTCGTTTTCAACTTGCAGATAGACAGATCAGATAGATAGATAGATAGATAGATAGATAGATAGATAGATAGATTGATTAGATAGATAGATAGATAGATAGATAGATAGATAGATAGAAGATAGATAGATAGATAGATAGATAGATAGATAGATAGATAGATAGATAGATAGATAGATAGATAGATAGATTAGTTAGATAGTTAGATTAGTTAGTTAGTTAGATAGATAGATAGATAGACAGATAGACAGACAGACAGATAGAAAGATAGAAAGATAGATTGATAGATAGATAGAGAGATAGAGAGATAGAGAGATAGAGAGATAGAGAGAGATAGAGAGAGATAGAGAGATAGAGAGAGATAGAGAGATAGAGAGATAGAGAGAGATAGATAGATAGATTGATAGACTGATAGATTGATAGATTGATAGATTGATAGATCGATAGATTGATAAATTGATAGATTGAAACATTGATAGGTTGATAGATTGATAGATCGATAGATCGATAGATTAGAATAGATTAGATTCGATGTAGATTTAGACTTAGATTTAGATTAGGTTAGATAGATCGATAGATAGATAGATCGATAGATAGATAGATCGATAGATTAGATAGATTAGATAGATTACATAGAAAAATTATATAGATAAATTAGATAGATAAATTATATAGATTAGATAGATAGATAGATAGATAGATAGATAGATAGATGGGTGGATGGATAGATAGATAGATCGATAGATAGAAAGAAAAATAGATAGATAGATAGGTAGATAGATAGATAGATAGATAGATAGATAGAAAGATATATAGATAGATAGACAGACAGACAGATAGATAGATAGATGAATAGATAAATAGATAGTTAGATAGACAGACAGATAGATAGATACATAGATAGATACATAGATGGATGGATAGATAAATGCATCCAGCAGTTGTGGTGAGGTGACCGCTGCAACAATTGCAACCACGCCAAAGAACACAACTCCAACCACGTGTCGGTCCATCAGTCAATTCGCTCTGCCATCCGTGATTCGCACCAGCCAACCTCTCCTATAGGCTTCCTATTTCTGAAACTTCCGCCACCGCCTTGTGCGGTACTACTGGTATATGACCAGCAAAACATTGGGAAAACTGACGGAAATACTGGAAAATCAGGGGGAATAATGGGAAATCAATGGACAATCAGAATTTTTAAAAGCTAAATCATCATTTTAATCATCTATAAATGGTTCATGGCCATGTTAAATAGCCAGAGGGTAAACATAGGGAAATAATGAAATACATCTGATATAAGTTGGCACAATGTGAGACCATCCCCACTCATCCAAAGTGATTTCAGCATCGCAAATTGTGGATGGTCTGTCATGTGGAGCCTACAGTACAGTAGTGGGTTTAACCACAACAAATTCAGAGTTGAACAACAAGACTTGGGCTCTAAAGCAAGTGGCACTACTCTATTTAGTGGTTCAAGGGAAAATTCTTGGAGAACACATGGTTTTAACTCGGGATGAGAATTCAGAATCTCTAGTAGCCTTCCTTCCCAAAATGCACGTGGGGTAATTGCATGGGTGATGATCATGCTAGAAACGGATGAGCGCATCGCCGTAAGCAACTCTTTTCTGCGACGAATGGAGGAATAGACGCTCTGGGAATTCAACATAGCTATGGACAATCACCCCATATCTATGAAATCATCTATGAGTTAGCAATTTCCATAGCTAGGTAACAAATTGTCGAGGAGGGTCCCTAACCATCCGACAAATTAAACTGTTTGAAAGGTATCCCAGATTGGCCTTTTGTAATGCCCCAGCCCTGGTCAGTATCGTCAGCGGTATAGAGATCCGCCCCTGAAGACCGTGGATAAGCATTGGATTTCTTCATTCTAGTGGCGTGCAGTGGGAAATTTAGAATCAATTGCGGGGAAGGGAAAAACCCATATATATATATATATCATGCATAAACACACACACATATATATATATCATAATTTATCATCTATATATATATAAAAGTCATATATAAGTCATATATAAGTCATATATATATCACACACACACGCACACACATATATATATATATATATCACACACACACATATATATATACACATGTGTATGTTTACAGTTCATAACATATCTACCTACAGTGAAATATATTTTGAGGTTTGTATTCGGTTTTGCCAACTCACAACGACGCCACCATACATGATGGTTAGTACTGTGTATGATCTGCACATGTGCTTATTTCAGGTTTGTGATCTATTATTCTTATTTACAGTACCCATCTATGCATACACACATCCACACAAAGATGAATAGATACATACATGCAGACACACACACATACATACATACATACATACATGCATACCTACCTACCTACCTACCTACCTACCTACGTAGCTACCTACCTAGCTACCTACCTAGCTAGCTAGCTACCTACCTACTTACCTACCTACCTATATATATATATAGATACGTACGTACGTACGTACGTACATACACATGTGTGACATGTACGTAGTGCAAAATAACAGCATGCCATGGCATGTCATGCAACGTGATGCAATGTACAGTACAAGGTTCCCCCACTAAAAAAATGATTTACAAATCCTATGAAAACCTATCAGCATCTATTAGCATCCATTATGATATACCAACATCTATAACATCTATTAACTACAGCTCTATTTGCCATAGACCCCAGTTATTGGAGATATGTTTCCCAACGTAGCTATCCTAAACGGGGGCCCCAGTTTGTTGGATGCGTTTTTGATGCACATATCTCCACCATTTTCCACTCCAGTCGACCTTGTCCTCCAACTACACCATCTGGGAGAAACATTTGGGACTCTTGGCCGATGAGATCTGGTATGATCTGGTGACATGTGGTTCAACGTCCTGCCACTGTTTAGAAATTCACGGCTGAATTGCGTGCAATGTTTTTTCGTGGGGTTAAAGCATGTAATAAAACTTACCAAACGAAAAATTGTATAATTATATGCATATAGAGTCAGTAGGGAATAAAACCTAGATTGGCCATGAGTGGATCCGGCTGGAAAAGCCCCACTTGTTGCATGATTCACCCGGAAAACGGTGTTTTGGTTCACTTCCTGTCTTCGTGGAGCCCGCCAAACGAGGACTGCCTTATAGCTGGATGTCCTATGCCTTCCCCGCATGGCCGGCGGCACCCAGGGCGGCCATTGCTTGGGATTTCCGCGGGGGAATGGAACATTCTCCCAAAAGATCGTTCACGATGATAGACCACGTACAATTTGGCCTACCATGAGGCCATAACTGGTCAATTTCTGCTATTCTGACTTTTTGAAACATAAAATTTTGAAAACTATATATGTTTAGAAATGCAGCTGTGTCGTTTTCGATGGGCATAACACGACATGCCGTTGTTGAAGAAACGCAGGTGACGTCCAGAGAGGAGAAGTGAACATAGTCTTACTGCTGCAAAACGCAGGGAATTTTCGGGAATGATCCATTAATCACTAGTAATCATCCCAGCAGCCCCCAGCAACCCATCCAGCATCCCTACGTAAAACGCACCAGTAAGTAGTGAACGTGGCCCCTCAGGTGGAGCGTGACGTTCGCGCCGGCCCTGCTGATGGCCCTGGCTGTGGCCGCACCTTGGGTGATTCTTTGACCTGGGAAAACCCATGGGAAAACCCATGGGAAAACATGGGAAAATGATGGGAAACCTATGGAAAAAACATAAATCCACCAAAACTTGATGGTTTTTGATGGGTTGATCACTGGTATATGGTTTTTTCATACGTATTTTTTTCCTATCGAAATATCAAGAGAATGATGCTTTTAAATGTTTTTAAGCCGTTTTAGCAGTGTGACTGAAATGATCAATTTGACGATGATGCGGCATGGCAGCATTTTTGAGGCTGAACAACTGCCGAATCCCAGGTGGCTCATCAGCCATTGCATGGTGAGTGTGTTCCGTTTCCATGTTTCTTTACAAACACATCCTCCACAAACATTGACATGACACTGGAACACCGATACACTTTTCATTCTGGGAGCTTTTATATACCTCGCAGGTTGGAGCCAGAAAATCTTCTAGATGATTTTCCGAAACAAACTGCGAGTAGATTTGAGATCCTCCACGGAGATCTCAGGATTTCCCCATTGAAAATCATCGAAATTGTCTCGGGAGCCTAAGCAATCCCTGAGGCACAGCTGAGCAGCAATAGCATCCTTTTCTCAGAGGCCCAAGGTTTTGATCTGGAACCATTTCTAGATGTTTTACACAGGAACACGGTGGGGAAACGGATCACCACGGATGGTATTAAGCATGGCTGAGAAATCCCCTATGAATTGAGTTTTAATGGGTCAATCATCTATGAATGGGGGCTTTTCCATTGCCACGTTTGATTACTGTACAGGGGGGTATGATGGGGTATGCATCTTGTTTCTTTTTTTTTTAAATGCAAAATTGTTTGTGCGAATGCGAACAGGGAGCACTAGGCACACGTACAGACCTACACAGACATGAACGATATATATATATATACAGCATGGAAAAAGAAGCACGCTGATATACATTCTGGTACCACTGATAATATACTGATACATATGTGCCACATATTGTATATATAGCCTCGTCCCTGCTCTTGGAACCGCGCAAACCTGAATTAGGTAGGTAAAACTTGTCCATTCCGTGACGAAATTTAGTCGCGGAATTGACAAGTTTCATTGGGGTCATCATCATCATCATCATCATCATCATCATCATCACATCATCATCATCATCAGCATTAGTATGAACATGAACATGAACGTTCACATCCCACCCCATCCCCCCCCCACCCCGCGTGTGCGTAGCATCAACTGTGGTGCAGAGTTCACATGAACGTTAACATCCCACCCCACCCGCGTGTCATCAACTACTTCTGCAAGTTCGCGTGTGCGTAGCATCAACTGCTTCTGCAAGTTCACATGAACGTTAACATCCCACCCCATCCCCCCCCACCCCGCGTGTGCGTAGCATCAACTGCTTCTGCAAGTTCACATGAACGTTAACATCCCTCCCCATCCCCCCCCCACCCCGCGTGTGCGTAGCATCAACTGCTTGTGCAAGTTCACATGAACGTTAACATCCAACCCATCCCCCCCCCACCCCATCGTATGTGGTTCCAGGAGCTGGGACGAGCTTATATATACATATGCTACACATATAAGATGATATACATATATAATCACTGATATACATGACATATTGTGGTAGCCCCAATGCCAGAAACCATCCCCAACCTTTGGCAATGGGATGATGTTTATTCTGCCCCCAGTCGGATGTTTTTATGGCATGGGGTGAGTCCCACATTCACCATTTAACTTAACCAACAAAATGGTGGTTATTAAGCAAAATGCAGACTTCACCAGCAAAAATGATGATTTCTTGGGATACTTTGACCCAATCCATATTGATATGTAATTGATTGCAATAAATCTGTTTGAACACAAGGGCTTTACACGCAGATCTTATCAGATCTTGATGGTCAACACACGGATGCAACACTGTGGAAACAGGCTGCCAGGATGTCCGACGACTGGGGAGAAGAAGTTTGGAACCATTGGGAACCAAGGGTCAATTTCGTTCAAACTTGGGCATTTTTTTGATGGTTATACTCGTAAAACCATCCCCCGAATCTGATACTGTAAATTCAAGACTCCGAAAACAAGTCTGACACATAGATTCAAAACTCCGATAGATCCAAAAACTCCACCGAAAACTCCACCAAAACATGATATCAACAACTCGGACAAGACCATGTGGCAGGGGAAAAACCACCAGTGAACTTGGTGCATTTCCAGCCACATTCTCATGCAGGCCATGGCCGACTCAGCCGGGGGACTCAGCCGGGGGCCTATCAGTTGAGATGTAAAGGGCTTGGCTATCCATGAAATAATATGGCTATGGATCAATACCTCTGAAAATAGCATATTTTTAGTGGGTTATGAACACATCCATTTTAACCCAGCTATTTTGATGTGAACTACAGGGGTACTATTGGTTTTGACACACTGCCATATAGTAAATATGATAGTAATATAATGATTACCAATTACTATCATTAGATTGCTATCGTAATTACTAAAATAATGGAAATATAGTAATATCTATTTATATCACAGATCTTTCCAGATATTTATATCTATTATATATCAAAAAAACTGTGTGTAAAATAATGCAGATATCATGATATTAATATAATTAGATACAACTCTGTGAACTCTGTGATTTGTAGTTAGATGAAGCAAGCCAGGATGAATAAATGCCCCAGCTTGTCAATACAGGGAGTCCCGGTCGTGCCAATTGCAAGTGGCAAACACCACACCGATGAAATGCAACTGGGGGCAACTTTATCTTACTTCATACATCTTGTTTCGTTCCTCACAATGGTGTTCTCTCAAAATGTGGAACAAAAAAAGAAGATTCCCCACGGTTTACGGTTGATCACATTTTTCTGCACCGGGAAAGGAACCATGACCAAAGGAAACAACTCCATTTTCATCCAAGGATCCCTCTGGTAAGCAAACAGTTCGCTATTGAAGCCATGACCCAGTCGAAAAATAGTGGATTTTCCCATGAAAAATAGCATGGTGGATCTTTTGCCATCGTTTTTTTGTTAACGTTTACCAGGCCGGCTAAGGATCTGGATTGGCTCCCCACGACGCCACTATCTACCTGGTGGCTGGGTGAAGCAACAGGTGGTGACTATTGGTGCCTGGAACCATGGAAATTTTCATGACTTTCCATATATCTTGGGAATGGAAAATCATCCCAACTGACGAAGTCCATCATTTTTCACAGGGGTTCAAACCACCAACCATATATATATATATATACATACATACACAGTATATATATATATATATGACCGATATGACCTACAAACACTTGATGAACCAAGTCTCAAACGCATTGACATAGACGCCGGATTCCCGGATTTTAAGGACCGACCTCGGATGATCCAATCTGAGATGTCCTGTTGGTGAAACATCCAAAATTCAATCCATCCAAGATTGCAAATAGCCCATGTTAGGTAGGCCAGTATTGCTTTTGGTTTGGGTTTGGTTAAAGATCAAGTGCATAAGTTTTCAAATCAAGAACAGGTCAACATTCTTCAACATTCCTCATATTTCCTTACATGATCTCAGATCTCATGGATTAGACATAATTATTAACGTATCTCATATGATCTCAATGCCAGTTCAACCAATATCAAATAGTAACCCCCAAAAGCTAGAAGTCGGTAGAATCCAATCCTAAAATAGAGATAAAGTGAAGCCTTTTCCGCAGCATTTTGGGGCATTTTGGGGGTTACTATATTCCCAACTGACATTCAGATATTGTCTCAACTATGACCAACATTGTCTCACACATTTCCAACTTATATATCCACATAATGTGGGCAACACGACAATAAACTTATACCATTTGGGGATGGTGAACAAACCACCACAAAAAAATAGGGATGACTTGGGGATGGTTTATAGCATTGGGTTTTTCACATTAATCATTATCATTAATCACAATTATGAACCATTCTCAATCATTATGAACCAAACCAGAATCCATTGTCATCACTATCATCTCCATTATCATCACAATGCATAGTCCCTTTTTTAAGAATTATCAATTACTATTTCCCAGAATTCACCATTATGAAATATTATAAACCACCATTTCCCATGTTCAATCCATGTCATGTCACCATTTCTCATTCCCCCCATGTCATGTCATGTTCTCCTTCGAAGCTCCCCGTGGAGGTCGTACCATTGGTGCGTGCTGAAGGCCGTCTGCGGTGGCATCACCGATGCCTTCCATGGCGTCTTTGTGGAGGCAGAGTTAAACTTTTGAGAACTGCATGGATTTTGGGCATGTTTGTTTTTTTCTCCAATGTTTTGGGATATATTATATATTATATATATTATTAAAACATATCATGATGATGTTTTTTTTTGTTTCTTTTTTTTTGGGATCTGTGGGGAATGTTTGAGACTTTTTCCTTGGTGGAAAGGGTTGGGGTTCTGTGGCAGCTGGTGTGGCCCAAAAATGGGGGGTTGCCAAGTTGCCGGCAAACAATAAGGGCACATCATTGCATTTTCCACTGCTGCAGTTTCAATGCTGGGTTGGACATAACTTGAGACCGAACATGACCATTTCCCATTCAGAATCTGTTCCAGGTCTCATCCTTATTCTTCTACCATGAAATTGACATCTGTTTTTGCTGCTCAAATCCTTTAAAATGTGGGTGCCTCGTGCCAGCCAGGCGCCCATTTGTTCTGGGTCCTTTTGTTAATTAATCAGAGTATATCAGGGTTTCGGGTTTATTCCTTGATTTTGCTGCGACTGACCTCCCTTATTGGCTGGTTGGTGAAATCATGCGAACTCTCATTTTCCACTGGCTGAATTCCCATAGTAGGTCGAAGGGAACATCTATAGGAAGGCCTTCAAAAATTGTCGATCAAAACCGCGGCGCCCAATCCATTGATCCATTGAACCAGCCATTGGTAATCCCAATTGTTGCCATCCAAATAGTGAGACGTAACATAATCTTTGTTGATGGCCAAATCTTCATTATTCCATATATTTCCATATTAATAATACGTTTATATTTCTAAGTCCATTATTCATAAGTAAGTCCTAAATTCATCTAAATCCAGCATTTTTGATGGTTAGATTAAATCTCTATATATTTCTTAGTTTATCCCGAGGTCTTCCATGTCTTGCTTGCTTTGTGAGTAAACTAGCCATGGTTTCAAGCCTATACACCCCCCCAAAATTAACATAGACCCGGCCAGATAGTGGGTTGGAAGTTGGAAGATTACTTTCCACTAAGAATTGACTATTTTCATCTATTTTCAGAGTCTGCGTTAATTTTTTAAGAGGATCGATTTCCGTTAGAAGGAAACAAAAACACACATCCACTGAATCATGCTGAATCAGCCCTTTAGGTGCCACTGCACCTCTTCCGCGCGCCCAAAACCACCTGGGTCCGTTTCTTCGGCTTCTCATACAGCGGCACTGACTTCCTGTGTCCCGGCTGACAATCTGGGATGATTTCAGATGAAAACCAGCCAAAATGGGCAGATTTTTTCATCAAACATATGGGAAACTTGGGATTTCCTAGCACTTTGATTCGGTGGTCAGGCCGGAACTTTAAATGGGGGTTGAGGAAGAAACCTGTAAGGATGTTACCAACGACATTTTTGTGGTGGTTTAAGCGAGAAAAAGGTGATTTCAATGGACTGAACCCAGACTCAAAACCGAAAAAATGGATTTATGTTCTATTTACTTCTGTTTGATCTTTCTGGTGGTCAGAACATCGATTGAAATAGCGACGCATTGTTGAAATGTACAAAAGCATGAGTTTGGGGCACACATGGTGCAGACTTTGGCATCGGGTTTAAACTCCATGCCCCAGGAACCTCTTTTCGGCAGGTGCCGGGATGGGTATGTCCATGTTGCCGGGCAAGCAGTTGGGGTTTCCTTGTGACTAGACACATCCAACGCTAGACATCAATGACATCAACTAGGGATGTTGGCTGATGGATCCAAAGTCCAAGCATGAGATCAGCATGCTTTTCCCGGGGTTTGGGGTCGCAAATGATCTGCACAAATTGGCCATCCGAGTTCGTTTTTCCTCCAGTGGGCAATCAGATTTGGATCAGAGAGCGGGAAGCAAGGATCTGGGTCACAACCTGATAACAAGCTCGCAAGGAAGTCAACAAAAGAGATCACCTTTTTAAAGGTTGGTGATTAATTGTGATGATGATGATGATGGTGGTGATGGTGATGATGATGATGATGATGGTGATGGTGATGGTGATGATGATGCTGATGCTGCTGCTGCTATCATCACCATGATTCAGCCCGAAACATGTTGGATTGGGTGCCTGCCTTCAGACAAGCACGCCTCGGGTACCCTGGTGGAGGGTCAGTTCCACGGCAACTTCCATAACTTCAGAGTCACTTGGCGCTGGTGAAACTCTTGCGGAAACCATCCTTACCGACCTCATGATGCGTAGTAAGGAGTACCACCTCGAAATGCATCTTGTTTTAAGCTGGTGAAGTATTGCAATCTCTAAAATTGGATCAACTTCATGGCTGTGCAATTGGGGTTTGTGGTATGAATTATCCAGAAAGATGCCCTCAAGCAGTTCATCCACTAGCGCAGCACACATGGCCATGAATCCATCTGCCGCGCATCAGGGAGCAGAGCTGCAGTGAAGTCCAAGTTTTTTTTGTTCCTTCAGCAGTTTTTATCCCACTCTACAACATCTGACTGTGAAATTCCGGGTGGGTTAGTCACCCCCAGACAGTACACGGATGCTTGATATATAATTCATACATAATATAAATATATAACATATAATTCATATCTAATTCAAACATATATATATACACATAGACACACACACACACATATATATATATATATAGTCATTTTTTTGAAATATACGCATGCCTGCAGCCTCAATTTACTCATTGAAAAAGGCTAGGTCCACCCCTGGCTGGAACCTGAGGCCACAGTGATGCTCCTGCGATTGCTGCTGAGCCATGGGGGAGCCGTGGGGGAATTAGGTCGGTGAGTTTATAGCTACAAATTGGGGCTTAGAGTGGATATATCTATATATATATCTCTAGCTTGGTGGCTCTAGACTATAAAACTAAGAATTTGGGGTCCCCTTTGCGTTCCAATTAGTGGCGCGTTAGCCGTTAGCCGTCATGAGATGGCGATGTAGGGAATGCTTGTGGAGTCAAACATGCCTATCCAACAAAAACCCAGAAACCCACATTAACCAGCACAAAGCAAAAAAAAACAAACCACCACACAAACCACCATGTTTTGGGGCATGTTCTCATCTTTTCCCCACCTTCCCCAGGTGAGGCGGTGAGGCGTATGAACCACCAAGGCTCCTGACGATGCTCTTCGCCTCCCTGCGTCTCACCGCCGTCATCGCGCGCACGCCCTCCGCCGACAGCGGCGAGGAGGACAGCTGGGACGAGGACTGAAACGGAACCAGTTTCAGTGTCTAGGAGGGAGCGCTTCGGAGCTAGGGCCTAGGGGTATCCATAAGCCATCTGAGCCAGTTGGAGCTACAGTTTCCCAAGCACACAATAGGAAAGACAGGGAGAATATGGGAAAATGGAATGAAAATGGGTTGATTTGCGATCAGCATTCTTCTTTTGGGGGTAGGGTTGATAGGGTCATGAGATCCCCTGTGATCTCCGTTGCTATGTCCAAATGGTGCCGTCCATTTGATTCTGGACTCCAAAAAACATACCACTAAGATGTCTGATTTCTGAATTCTCCCCCAATGGTGGATAATTACTGTAGGGAGATGGTTGTTTGTTTCCCCCTCATTCAGGTTTCAATGGGCAGAATTGCTAGGGAATTTCTATGCAGCACAGCAGATGGGACGGGCCTTTTTTGGGCGGGATCAAGCATCATGGTTTAACCATGGTTTACCCTCTGGTAAACTAACATAGCTATTGGAAATGGCCATAGAAATAGTTGATTTACCCATTAAAAATGGTGATTTTCCATATTTTTTGTATGTTTACCAGAGGGTATGTGGTGAGTTTTCCCTCCAATCCATTGATATCCATAACGATCCTGACCTTCGCCACGGAATCCACGGGACACCTGACTTGACGCAGGAGATTTGTCCATAATGGTCTCTCATCGCTACACATGTGCCATGGACTTCAAAGATGGAAGTGACATTCCAGAATTGAACCTGCAAATGTGGATAATGTGGTTCTCTTTTTTTTGTTGCCGCCCTGGCAATTTATAACATGGTTTGCTGGAAGATTCTATAGTTCGGTGATTTTATCACTCAAACCTCCATGTGTAAGCATTTATAGGATTTTCCCCATTAAAAACCCATATTTCCCTGCCATGACGCTGACGCCCGAGGGCATTGGAAAAATCAGAATGAAACTTCCACTTCGAGCCCATGTCCTACTGACCAGCGTATGCCAACGTTATAATGGGACAGTCGGAGAAACACATACAAAAACGGTGTGTTTCACCCGCCATGGGTGATCATTAGATGATCCGGGAAGCTAAGAACCGATGACCAGTAAAAGATATTAAACGATACCATATAGCGAAAAGGCAGAAAAGTCATTTGCACCAGTTTTTTTAAAGTGTGATTTGGCTTTTCGACGTTTTTCAGGTGTTGCTCATTGCATGCTGCAAACTACCAGTCCTAAACTCCCTTGGATCATCGAACAGCGGTGCAAAGCCCACCGCGAAAAGGCAGAAGATCTCGTAAAAAAGCAGCGTTCTTCGAGCAATTTCTCCGTTTTTTGGGGAGATCCATCAGAAATCATCCATTCAAAGCCACTTTGGTATGATTCTTAATGTTTACACACCAGGATTCCGAACATGGTTTATTACCACAGAAATCGTCCCATTTCTTCTTCTCAAACCAGGATTCTTGCTAATTGCAATGTTTTTTGTCAGAAATGGGATCCGATCCATCCACCTTGATGCATATCTGTGTGAGCGCTGCTTGCTTCGGATATGCATCCCCAAAGTCATTGCCTGATGATTTTTTGGGCCATTTTTTTGGCCTCGTACCTTTTGAAGATGTGATTCGGCTTACCAGCAAAAAGACACTGTAGAACTTTTTAAAGCCAATATGAAAAGACACGGGTGATCGATTACTACTTTTCTATCCTTTTTTTTTTCGTTTTACAGCTGAACAGTAAACAGATTTATGACGAAGAGCTACATTGCTTGCGGGGTCTTGATTTTGGTTCATAATCACGTGACTTCACCAGATTATATATAATATACATATACATATATATATATAATATACATATACATATATATATATATACACATATTATATGTAGATATAAAGTCTGATCACTATAAAGCAACGAGCTGCGTGTTTGAATGACTTACTTTTGGTGCAGAAAACAGGTGAGTTCTCGTCACCTTGGCAAACAGGAGCGCGGATCGTGTCGATATCTGCCTTTCCATCAACTGCCAGGCCGGGAACTTGTGCCGGGACCAGAGCAGTGTTTTCTTCACTGGCCATTTCGGATAGGAGAAAAAACAATAATAATTAATACATATATAAAAATATGAAAAGATGGGTATATAATGGTATACATATCTATATCATATATTTACATCTATATCTATCTATCAAAAAATAGATAAACAAATTACTTTACTTCGTGTGATCCCCACCATGACATTTATACATTTTCTTACTGGCAAATCTTCTGGCATTCTATCTGACATATCTTCTGACATTCTATTTGACATTCTATCTGGCATATCTTCTGGCATATGATCTGGCATATCTTCTGGCATATCTTCTGGCATTCTATCTGGCAAATCTTCTGGCATTCTATCTTGGCATATCTTCTGGCACTCTATCTGACATATCTTCTGGCATTCTATCTGGCATATCTTCTGGCATATATTCTGACATATCTTCTGGCATTCTATCTGACATATCTTCTGGCATATATTCTGACATATCTTCTGACATATCTATCTGGCATATCTTCTGGCATATTTTCTGGCATTCTATCTGGCAAATCTTCTGGCATTCTATCTGGCATTCTATCTGGCATATCTTCTCGCATATTATCTGGCATTCTATCTGGCATATCTTCTGGCATATCTTCTGGCATATCTTCTGACATTCTTTCTAACTTTCTTCTGCACATTCTTTGTCCCATATCTTCCTACATGAGGTCCGGCAGGGAACACTTGGCGTGGATACTCGCGGTTGAGGTCCGGCAGGGAACGCTGGGCGTGGATGGTCGTGGTTGAGGTCCGGCAGGGAACACTGGGCGAGGATGGTCGTGGTTGAGGTCCGGCAGGGAACATTGGGCGTGGATGGTCGTGGTTGAGGTCCGGCAGGGAACACTGGGCGTGGAGGGTCGTGGTTGAGGTCCGGCAGAGAACACTGTGGATCGCGGGTCGCAGTTGAGCAAGGACGACGAGGACGACGAGGACGACGAGGACGACGAGGAGGACGAGGAGGAGGAGAGGAGGACGAGGCAGGAGGAGGCGGAGGAGGAGGAGGAGAAGGAGGAGGAGAAGGAGGAGAAGGAGGAGGAGGAGGCAACTGACATAAAATCTAACAACCCTCACCTGGCAGGTGGGGAATAAATAAATAAGTATGTATATATATATATGATGTATATCTTTACACTTCTTGTCACTGGGCTTGGCTCGCCTTTAGCCTTTGGCTAGACTTCTGGAGACGATGGAGATGTGTAAAAATGGGAACATGATGATAAACCCGTGGATTTTGGGGTACCGCATGCAGAGAAACCCAGTTTATAGTGAACAATCCTAGATTTGGTGGGAACAATTACTTACAGTTTTTTTTCTCCATATTTGATTTTTTCCCTCTTTAACCAGGGATTTTTGATAGACAGATTTTACCCCGCTCCATCAGTCGGACATCATCAACATCACCTAAAAGGTGAGGCACGCTTAACTTGATTACCGATTGGATTTATGAAGGACACAGATATAAACCAACAGAGGTTATGAGATATTATAACTAGTTAGTATTAACAAGATAGTTAGTTTGCTATGATAACATGTTAAAACACTAATTAGTTAGTTAGCAATGAATAATTAGTTAGATAGTTAGTTTTTTTTGAAATAGACATATGTTTGTTCTTTTTTTAATTTACCCATATAGTTCGTTTATGTTTGTTTGTTGATTTGTTGATCATGGGGTAAAAACGCCCAACATTTCGCTGGTTTTTCCAGGACAGCTTCACATCGGCGCATGGGGCTCGCCGGGCTCACTGGGCTCGGGCTCACTGCCTTGGGCAGGAGACGTCCGGGCACCAGCTTCGTTTTTGGGTTTCTTGAGCCAGAAGTTCTTGCAAAAACTTCATATGTATATATATATATGTATATATATGTATATATATATATATGTATATATATATATATGTATATATATATGTATATATATATATATATGACCTATATGTATTCATATGTATATCTATATACTCCGAACATGTGGCAACCGAAATGGCAACATCCAATACTAGAACCTCTTTTGGGACACAGATTCCCATGTCTCCTTGCCGATCTTGGGACATGTCAGACATGAGATGAGGAATCCCAAAGTCCAAAACGTGAGTTGTTTCAACGTGCAAAAAAGGAAAGCTTTTTGCACCAGAAAAGATATCCCTCGGGACCTCTGAGAATCCAATGTGGTGGCACTGCAATAGCACTCATGCATCAGAGAATTCATCATAATTCAGAGATGATTTTGCAGGGACATTTGTTGAAAAATTGTTGAAATACGTTGGACATTTGTGCAAGTGTGCCCAGTTTCCACTATAGTCTATCGTATTTTCCCCAAAGAAAAGATTATAAAAGTAGACTATCAAACCAAACTATAGTATAAAACTATATAAACTATCAAACTATATAAACTAGATAGTACATTTTCAAACTATATAAAACTAGTACTATCCAACTAGAGGGTTTCCACGTGTCCAAAAAGTTCGCCGAGGTCCTGTGGCCCGGCTTTCTGGCGACGCCGATGCCTTCTTCAGTCCAGGCCCGCTACGGCCGCTTTTAGGGTGCCGTTGAGGGTTCTAAAATCATACCCTCTATGATTTTAGAACCCTGAAAGTTTGGATATATATGATGATATATGATATATGTTTGCCTTGTTGTGGTATTTTCATTGATTCCAACAGACCACAAGAAAAGGTCATTGATTTGGAGTGCAGAAAAAGGAACCCAGTCGTGATGAGGTATCTGCACAAAGGTACAAAACATGTTTGGAATTAGCATCCTTGGTTTTGGTCGATCAAGATTTCCATTATCAAAACCAGGTGATTTCAACGTCGCTTGGTTTGAAATTTCAGAAAAAAAGGAGGTAAACCAGTGTTGAGCGGCTGCAGCAATGTGCAATGATAAACAACTTATTGAATTATATCCGGCAACATCCGCAATTGAAATAGCACGAGCCTCACCATTACCTCCAACCGCCCACACAATGCCAATTTTGTTTGGAAAGTACAAATGCCAGGTCAAGTTGTGATGAGCAACCTGCAGTGATGCGCATCATTGTTTCCACCCAACACCTCCATTCTTTAGATACCAACACTTTGGTTCAACCAAGCCGGTTGGAAAAAGGACGCGGGTCTATCGTCATCTTCCCCAGGTCAGTGCGTGTCAAGTGCTTTTAAAGCCCAAGGGCAACCATTCTAGACCCCCAGGTGCTGACTGATGGCGGCCAGCTATAACCATTTGATAGAGAACTTTCGGAGAACAAAGACGGGGGAGAGACTGATGGCCCAGGAAGTTTTGAGACTGGCCATGGGCAAGACAATCTTTCCTTCAATGCGATAGTCTTGCCAGACTGTAGTGCGGTAAGATATGTCTTGAAAGGAAGGTGATTTCAAAAGATGACCTGGCGACGCAGTCTTTGTGGGGGGAAAGGGGGTCAAAAGGTTGCACTCGATTTTTGCATCCATCCCGACGTTGCTTTACAAAAAGGTGCTGCTTATATTTTCCGGAAAAGGTGGGCCTGACACAGCCTTAAAAAAATCCTTCAAAACAGACAAATCCAAAACATTTTGATGACCTGAACCGCGCAATGCGTACGTCTTTATGGCTTGCAGGAATACGATTTTAGAACCCCATCATGCGTACACTTTGGGGTTCTATCCTGCTCTCCGTTGAGGGATGTCAAAAGCCTTGGGTTTTTTGAAAGGAGACCATTCTAGAACCCAGATTTGGGGTTCTAATTTGGAGGACAAAGGGGTTCATCTGATCTTGAGGGTATGAAAATGGAGAAAACTGGTGATTTCCATGGGGTATCATGGGATTTTCGGTGATTTCAGGGTGATTTATGCTTTTTCCATGCTGAGAAATCGCAAAAAAAAGAAGCTACCAGTTGGGAATGATTTACACAACGCATTTTTGGCGATTTCTGGTTTATTCTTGAATTTAACACACCATCAATATTTTTCAATGTTTACAACCGATCTATTCATTGATGAGAACTCAGAACTATTACATCGTAGTATATCATACCGTGATAGTTTAGTGTTTATTCCATTATTTCCTTTTATGTCATATTATATTTAATTAATATCGCTATATTCTTAATCAAAGAGACATCAAGGCAGGGTTTTGCCAAGGATCTTGTAGTGCCTTGATAGGTTGAATCTAGGTTTTGTTTTTGCTCGTTAAGATGCAGCAATTAGCCGGATAACGTAGCAGTTTTGGCCGGTGAACATACCTTCTTTTTGGTGCTTAAACAACAAAATGTTGACAATTAAGTGCATTTGTTTGTTTGTTAAATACACCAGAAACGGAAATTAAAATCCCAGTTGCTGATTAAAAGCTCCTGAAATACGAATTTGTGCTGGTTGAAGTTGGCTAACTCTCCATATATTGCTGGTGATCTTATATATTTTGCTGGTCAAGTCCATTGTTTTTGTTGATTAGATCCCCGTTTTGCTTGCTGCACCAAAATTTTCTTGGTTAAACGTGCTTAAACATGCTTGAACCTAGGTCTTATGGCTCAGATCCCAGTTTTTCTTTTTTAAATCCACATTTTCATCATACTCTCCTCATGTTGTCCCCATATGTCGATGGCCCTCGGTACAGGTCAGATGCTCCGGCTGCGGCGGAACATGCGGCGCGAGAAACTGGCCTTGGAGATGCGATGGGAAGGTGCGGTGGGAAGGAGAGTTTTTGAATCAATAGTAAGTACCAACAGTATCCAACAGTAAATCCATTTATAAAAGGATTGATTTAGCCATGAACAAATGGTGGATTTTTATACCATGAGCAAATGCAATTCTGGTTGGTGGTTTCAAACATGAATTTTATTTTCCATTTCATATATGGGATAATCCTTCCATTGACTTTCATATTTTCTCAGAGGGGTTGAAACCACCAACCAGTTACTAATAGATATTATTAATATTACCGATAGTATCAGTACTTTAGTTCTAAAAACAATTTTTATTTTTGTTTGGTATGAACATATTAGTAACCATTGAATATATATATATATTTACATGAGAAAATATGTGCACCATATATTTTGAACCAATTATTATTTAGCAGGTATTAGCAACTATTATCAATATTGATGAACAGGTATTTGATAGTATCTTGGTAAGTCTTATTAACTACTGTATCATTATATAATAATATTTTCGATAGTATCAGTAGTTATTCATAGTTACTAATAATTATTACGTATATATACTTACTAATACTTATCTATAGCCATTGAAAATCAATAAGAGTATATAACAGTTATTAATAGTTTTTTGTTATTAATGTGACAAATATGGATAGTTTGAATATTACGTACTTAATTACTATAGTAAGCGATATTATTTTTTAAGTGGCTTTTCAAATCAGTAAAGCATCAATAGTATATATATATAGATATATAGACAAGTATCAAAAATTTGAATGACCATATTTATAGTTAAGTAAGTATTGTTAGTGTTAAGTGAAACTGAATCAACTATCATTATAAGTATCAATAGTAAGTTAAGGTGGGAACATCGCTTGTGCCTCGGGTTTTTCCGTCACTCCGTAAGGCATTAGTAATTAGATAGTTATTATTAGGAACTAATCTACTATAGTGTATCTATTCCTGTTAGTTATTTATACTTATATAGATGTTTACACTTGAATATTAATAGCAAACTACTAATATGTCACTAGTAGCAGTGAACTATACAATCACGGGCGCTTATATGACCTATCTGAAAGGTTTGCCTGTGAGATGATGGAACTATAACCGCGGATTTTAAATAGTTGATTAATATAATTATATAATCATGTGCCCACAACCGTAGTTAATTGGAACTATAATTATCTATAGCTAATTGGTACTGAAAATGTTATAGTTGATTGGAACAATAATCATCTATAGTTAGCTATAATCATGTACCCACGGTGACCTCAACCACTTAACTATCATTAACTATAATGTCAAACCCGGATCAATGAACCCTGGGGCGGGGATAGTTGCAAAGGTACCATTTTAGAAGCAGCTTATCGCTTTGTGGATGCCACCCATCTTAATCAACCAGGGTTTATCCTTCTGGCGCTGACATTAGTGGGGCTGTGCTGGGGCCACCTTCTCATCGACATTCTAGGATACGATAGAGATATAATGGGGACATTAACGATAGATTATAAGTATAAACATATTTGGGTGACACCATCGACTTGAATATTAAGAGTGCGATACAAGATATTTTCCATAACAATGATATGATAGGTCCATGATTCATGAACAAGTCTCAATGATGGAGCCCAGGGAGTACCATATCTTTCACTGGCGGACCTCACCATAGATGGTCATACAGGAAAGCCAACAACGAATTGGTCACCTCGGGTTCGTGATATGGTGTGGACTCTATGTATATTATTTTTTCTAATATATATATATATGTATATATATTTATAAGCTATCTATCAAGCAACCCCGAAAAAGATAGAACACATCTCGCATTTGCCGCATAATTTCTAGGTTTCGGTACTTTTCAAATATTTCCTAAGGGATGGCCCGTCCTAAACTGCCAGCACCGGGCAGCGATTTTTCTGGTTAAAAATCATTTCTGTTGGCATCAAATTTCTGAATTTTCTGTTGGTCAGATGATGGGTTTCCGTGGTTCTTCCTTAGATCATTGATGCTTTGCTGGATATCGAGGTGATTGAAAATCAACATAGATATGGAAATTCCATGGCTTACCTATCACATGATCATGCATGGTGGATTTTCCATTTCGTTTTGTCAATTAGCTTATCCCATCTCATTTACCATTAGAATATATTCCGTCGAACTTTTATCTGTTAAATTTTAACAAAATAGTGATGGGTTGCCATATCAAGATATTTAACCCCAAAATGATATGGTAACCCCCAAAAGTTATTTGCTTTTCATGGCATCGTTAAATATTCAGATCATGATTTCGGTACCCAATTAACAAATTTTATGGACTCCCTCCTGGATTTCCTATGGATTTCAAGGGCTTTCGCGGATTCCTACGGATTTCCTCCGGGATTTCCCAGGCGTTTCAGGTTGCCACGGTCCGCTGCTGTTCCACCCAGCCTTCCGGTGCGCCGATTCGGGGTGGGTTGAAGTTCTGGGGGATGAATTTAGCTCATGGCTTGAGAAATATTGGCCACGGATTGATTCCAATGGCTAGATTGTTCTTAATGGCTTGAGTAATGGATTATTTCCTGTTAATGGATGGGATTGAATGTTCTAGCCATGAATAATAGTAACATAATAGGTATTCATGGCTAGCAGGGATTGGTAATGATTGATAATGAGAATTGCTAATAGTGATTGATACACATTCATTAACTGCTAATAGTGATTGGTAATCATTCATGCCTTGAGAAATAATGGCCATGGGTTAGTTCCAATGGCTAGATTGTTCTTAATGGCTTGAGTAATGGATTATTTCCTGTTAATGAATTGGGTTGAATGTTCTAGCCATGAATAGTAGCAATTTAGTAGGTCTTCATGGCTAATAGTGATTGGTAATGATTGGTAATGATCTGTAATGATTGGTAATGATTGAAATAAGACTTCTAGTAATTTAATAAGTTTAATGATAGTGGCGAAGAAAGGTTGATAGTTGCGAATAGTGGTTAACGATTATTCATGCCTAGAAGAATGGTGATCAATGTTGGTCATTGCTGATTAATGGAAGTACCCCCTGGTCATTTAAGAGTTTGTTGTGGGAAATCGCCCATGTCGTTCGATCATTTGACTTAAAAAAATGGTTGTTTTTCCATGGCTGCGTGACAATCTACCAGAGGGTAATTACATAGAATGAATCTCCAGTATATACGAAAAAACTGGTGATATGAACCCATTGAATCCCATTTCAGATGTGTATATATATATATATATTATATTTAGTATAGTTTATGTATAGTTAATATATTTATATACTTAAATTGCAGTAGGAAATTTGATATCTGTGCATACTAATGGGTATCACATGGGGTACTATATTACTATATCAAGTGTTGCCCTTCCGGCATATATTTTCCTACTGCTTGGGGGTATATACATTTTATATTGCATGGATAGATTAAAACATATTTCATCTCAGTCTCCGAGTTTGCCAAATGTTCTACTTTCTGTCTATGGAATTTGTTTGGTTTTTCTTCTTCCCAGACATCAGTCAGTGGAATGATTATTTTTCCACCGGCATTCTTGTCAGAAATGCAAAGAACTGGAGACATGGACATATCCTAGGTGTATGAATCCATACTCCAGGTATATGAACCCAGGAATTTCCAGGTTTTTGAACCCTAAGTGCATGACTGCATATATATTTTTCTGGGCAGGGTGAACAAATTGCCTAACAAGGCACTTCTGTATCCAGAAACTGTCTTGTTGTGGTAGCTAGGCCCAGCTAGGCAGCTAATATTAATTACTCTCTGATGATCAAACATGGCTGGCCGGAAACATCCATTATACATGGAGATTTCCAATGATTTTCAATGGTAAAATCATGCATCAATGGTGGATTTTCCAGCTAGCCACGTTTGAGTGCCGGAGGGTGGTCCAACAAACACCAGCTTTGGTCAGACTTCCTTGTCATCAACTCACCCTAGCGAATCTGTCAGAACGCATCCGGCTGGCAGGATCCACTTTGTGGGTAGCAGTGCGGTGCCATACCGATGCCCATGGCAAGTGCAGGAGGTTGGCCGACGGACCTGCGATGACATTGAAATGTCGCATGGGTTGGGTTGGTTGGGTGTTTTTTGGGTGGGGGGGGTTGAACCCCATACCCTCTGGTAAACTAACATAACTATAGAAAATCACCATTTTCAATGGGAAAATCCACTATAAATGGTCATTTTCAATAGCTATGTTAAATTACCAGAGGGTAAATACAATGAATATCTGATGAGCTGCTTCCCCTTTGCCGCATCCGTTGGTCCAAACGTTGGTCCGTTTGCCATGGATTTGGATCGCAGGTGCTGCTGATGTTCCAACAGATGTGTGACTTTCCGTTGGGGACGCTGGTGCAGCCGATGTTTCCACGGTAGGAACCCAGGAGTCACCAAAAGGGATTTCTTTTGAGGATTGTCACCCCCCAAAAATAGAGAAGTAAATTAACTTGCTGGTGATGAGTGATGTACTCTATTCTATTTTTTACTAGAACGTTTCTTGGGTTGCGACTTTTTCTGAACTAAGAAATATCAACAACACATCTTGTGAATGAGCTTCCATGGCACAACCCAGGCAAGGTTTCCAGTGTACCGCCGGCTGCGTGGAGGCTAGTTGGTGGGTGCCATTGACTTGGGATGGATACCCAAAGAGTTAGGGATTAAGAACGGGTCACTCTTTGATAATCAAACATAGCTGGCCGGGCAATCTCCAACAATGGAACACATCTATATATATATACATATAAAATGGTGCATTTTCCAGCAAGCCACGTTTGATGTCCGGAGGGCACGTAGCGACCATTCACCATGAATAGCTGGTTGGTGGTTTCAAACTACTCAGATTTCCCATCCCAACAAATAGCGTAATGATTCGAATATATTCGAATAGACTATGACAATCACTTTGGTGATGGCTGGTGCGAATCAGTTGAGGTAAAGTGATATGTATATCATTTATTTTTTATATCATGTGTAAAACACATGATATATTATGAATATGGGACTGGTCCAAGAGTAATTATATGCACATACATACATACATGCATGCATGCATGCATGCATGCATGCATGCATGCATGCATACATGCATACATGCATACATGCATACATGCATACATGCATACATGCATACATGCATACATGCATACACCCATACATGCATACATGCATACATGCATACATGCATACATGCATACATGCATACATGCATACATGCATACATGCATACATGCATACCTGCATACGTACATACGTACATACATACATGCATACATGCATACATGCATACATGCATACATGCATACATGCATACATGCATACATGCATACATGCATACATGCATACATGCATACACCCATACATGCATACATGCATACATGCATACATGCATACATGCATACATGCATACATGCATACATGCATACATGCATACATACATACATACATACATACATACATACATACATACATACACGCATACACGCATACACGCATACACGCACAAATATATTATATACATCCCATTCTTGGTTGTTGCTTGTTGTTTTTGTTGGTTGTTGTTGTTTTTCTCCAGGAGCGTCCCCTTGGATCGTCTTCAGTTTTCGGCGACGTGGATCTGCTGGTGTGTCCCTAGGATGACCTGGGGGCTTCAAGTGGGGTTTCTAGTAGCCCTTGCTATGGAAACCCTCTGGTAAACATACAAAAAACTGTTGAAAATGGCCCAGTCGAAATAGTGGATTTACCCATTGAAAATGAAATGGTGGATTTTTCCAGTTCGTTATGTAAACGTTTACCAGAGGGTAAGCTATGGAAAATGGATTTTCACCTGGATCATGGATGAACAGTTCATGGCCTATTTGGCTCGATGATTGGCTCCATGATTTACCTATATGGTGATTTCCCATTTCCCATAGCTGTGTTTGGGATTGCCAGAGGGAAATCCCTAAAAAGAGGCAGAAAAGGTTCAATGAGAATCACTGTTTTAGGATTGGATTTGACCAACTTCATCCAAGTTCTATTTTTTTTTGGGATTACCTATAAGGATGTTTTCCAGTGGATTGAAGTGAGTTTTTTCAGTGGCTTTGTGATGGGGATTTAGTTTTTTTCCCCGACCTCCCAGGCATGGACGAAAAGACCAAGCGCTTGGTGGAGGTTGAGGACACCGCGCTATCCTTTTTCGGTATCCTGCAATGAATCAGGGCGTTTTCCAAATGTAGACAGTCGAATCAGTAGATTTTGAACTAGAAAAGGCTGCTTTTTTTGACAGGCTAGAGTTGATTTTGCTAGGTTGGATTTGATTTGATAAGGCGGATGGATATACATGGTACTGTACCAGTATGAAGATAGTAGACACATCCAAGAGTAACAATTGTGGACATGGAGATGGCAAAAATGGAATGCACATGAATGCACGCTAATCCATGTTGTTTTCGATTCCTGCTTTTCTTTCTGTTTGCTCGCAGCAACCGCATCTGTCACGCAGCGGGATGTCTCCTTTGGGGAAGACCTTCTGATGTTTCGCTGTTTCGCCCCGTTTATTCCGGATATATCACAGGAGATCTCCATGCAGTGACTTTGATGAGATAGGTGATACGAATGCAGTGGGCTGGATCTTCCAGCACAGAGAAGACCATTTATAGTTGATTGTTCAGTTTGCTATTGAAAATTGCCATTTATATTTGATTTACCCATTGAAAATGGTGATTTTCCATAGTTAGGTTAGCATATGTTAGCTTAGCAGAGGGTACCGTATGTTACTCCCTGACTAATCATTTCCATTTCCTGCTGTCATTTCCAGCGCTTCGTGCAGGATATGCCTGACGCTGGCCGCGTGTGTTGCTTAGCGGACTTTCTGGATGTCTCTTGGCGATCTCGGGGAGGTAAGTGCACTAAGTGCGGGGATGATGAGAAAAGATGGGAAGAGTTGATTTTGTTGTTGTGATTCCGGGTGTCAAAAGACTTCCGCAAGGGAATTTTGATGTGATGTACTGCAATTCATGGATTTGAGGATCATATTTGCAGAATTCTCGGCAATCCAAATCAATAGAGCACCTGCCAGAACATGAGGGGGGTGTTTTCGCACCACAGCTGTTTTTCCAATTTCCTAAAGATCATTCAAGATCATTAAAGATCAACATGTGTCTTGAACATGGGGTATGCACATATACCATCATATACCATCATATACCATCATATACCATCATATACCATCATATACCATCATATACCATAGACCCATCATATAACATTATATATACCATATACCATCATATACCACCATTTACCCCCCAAATGGCAAGTTTCATGGGGAACATCGCTGTTTACTCCTTTCGAGACCCAGGCCAGTCCCATTGAGGAGCAATCCGAGAGGCCCGGCTTGTCGCCGATTTTCTCAACCCCTCTTGGTGAATGATACGAATGGAAATGAACGGAAATATACGGAAATGAAATATCAATGCAGTATTATCATGTATTATCATGTGTTATCATGTACTATCCAATGATAATACTAACCAATGATAATATTATCCAATGATAATATTATCCAATGATAATATTATCCAATGATAATATTATCCAATGATAATATTATCCAATGATAATATTATCCAATGATAATATTATCCAATGATAATATTATCCAATGATTAATTATCAAGTATTATTACCCAATGTATTAACATTCATATTCCCAACAGCAGGGCCTGTTGGGTTTCAATCTCTAGGGCTGGGGCTGGCTCGCGGGGACTTGCAGCCTTCAAATCCGGAATGGAACCCTGGAACCCTGGAACCCTGAAACCTTGGAACCCCGGAACCCTGGAACCCTGGAACCCTGAAACCTTGGAACCCCGGAACCCTGGAACCCTGGAACCCTGAAACCTTGGAACCCGGAACCCTGGAACCCTGGAACCCTGGAACCCTGGAACCCCGGAACCCTGGAACCCTGAAACCCTGGAACCTTGGAACCCTGCGACCGTGGAACCCTGAAACCTTGGAACCTTGGCACCCAGGAACCCTCAAGGATTCTGGAACCCTGCAACCTTGGAACCCTGCAACCCTGCACACCTGGCACCCTGCTGGGATCCTGGAACCCTGAAACCCTGGAACACTTGGAACCCTTGGAACCCTTGGAACCCTGGAAACCTTGGAACCCTGAAACCGTGGGACCCTGGTACCCTGGAACCCTGGAACCCTGAAACCTTGGAACCCCGGAACCCTGGAACCCTGGAACCCCGGAACCCTGGAACCCTGAAACCCTGGAACCTTGAAACCCTGCGACCGTGGAACCCTGAAACCTTGGAACCTTGGCACCCTGGAACCCTCAAGGATTCTGGAACCCTGCAACCTTGGAACCCTGGAACCTTGGAACCCTGCAACCCTGCAACCCTGCACACCTGGCACCCTGCTGGGATCCTGGAACCCTGAAACCCTGGAACCCTTGGAACCCTTGGAACCCTGGAAACCTTGGAACCCTGAAACTGTGGGACCCTGGTACCCTGGAACCTTGGAACCCTTGAAACCCTAAAACTTCCAAACCCTAAACTCTATGCGCGCTGCGCGCGCTGCATGCAATAAAGTAACCCCTAAAACTTCCAAACCCTAAACCCTAATGCGCGGTGCGCGCGCTGTGCCCCAGAGAAGTAAACCCTAAAATTTCCAAACCCTAAACCATCGTGTTATGCAACTTCCAAACCCTAAAGTTTAACCCGCGGTGTGCGCGCTGCATGCAATAAAATAAACCCTAAAACTTCCAAACCCTAAACCCTAATGCGTGCTGTGCGCGCTGCGTGCCAGAGATAAACCCTAAAACCTTCAAACCCTAAACACAAATGCGCGCTGCGCGCGCTTTGTGCAATAGAAATAAACCCTAAAATCTTCAAACCTGAAACTCTCGTGTCATAGAGGTAAACCCTAAAATTTCCAAACCCTAAACCCTAAACCCTAACGCGCGCTGCGCGCGCTGTGTGCCATAGAAGTACCCCTTAAAATCTCCAAACCCTAAACCATCGTGTCATGGAGGTTGACCCCAAAACTTCGAAACCCTAAAGTTCAACCCACGCTGTGCACGCTGCATGCAATAAAATAAACTATAAAACTTCCAAACCCTAGACCCTAATGCGCGCTGCGCGCACTGCGTGCCACACACATAAACCCTAAAACTTTCAAACTTTAAACCGTAACGCGTACTGCGCGCACAGCCTGCCATAGAGGTAAACGGTTAAACTTTCAAACGCTGCGTGCCATAGAGGCAAAGCCTAAAACTTTCAAACGCTAAACCGTAAAGCAGGCTGCGCGCGCTGCGTGCCATAGAGTGCTCCTCAAAAGTGATTACATGTCATACTTTAGTGGCATCCTCCAAATTCATTACTCAGCCTTTGTTAATCCAGGGCCCATTTTACACATGTCATCTTCTTGGTCGTGGCGCCATTTCAGGATCACACTGATGACCTAAGCTTTGGCCTTAACTATTATGCAGGCAAGCGACATCAGCACGCTATGGTATTGGAAGACACAGGGTTTGCCCGTAGACCAGCCAAAAAAATCGATTTTCCACACTGAACAATTGGATTTAACACATTTAGAATAGGAGCTCCGCCTGATTCAGATTTCATCACTTAAAAGGTCCCATGCCTGACTAGCCTTCATGACTTAAAGCGTAACCACACCCGACTTAAAGGAACCATGCCTGACTAGCCTTCATAATTAAGAGGTACCCACCCACGCCTGACTCAACAGAACCCATGCCTGACTAGCCTTCATAATTAAAAGGTACCCATGCCCCTGAATTCAGGGAACCATGCCTGACTAGCCTTCACAATTAAAAGGTACCCACTGGAACCATGCCTGAGTAGCCTTAATGACTTAAAAGGTAACTACACCTGACTTAATACCTGATTTACTGGTTTTGCCTGATTTTGGAAAAACGCAGGGCCGGAATTTGCAGGGCGCGGGCCGGAATTTGCCGGGCCCGGGCCGGAATTTGCCGGGCTGGGATTTTGGGGTCGTGCCTAAATAGGATTTTTGCAAAAATCGTGCATGACTGAAGGGAACCATGCCTGACTAAACATCATACCAATCATCCCAAAAGAATCCAATAATTCCAGCAAGTGATGCCTGACCAATCCCTGCGTCATAATAAACCATCTGCCCCTCCCCACCCAATAATGAACACACGGAATAGTTTTTTGTATTTAGTGGGTATTTAGTATGAGGGTGCGAAACTTCCCCCTTGGTTAAAAAAATCTAAATTGGAAAACATTTTTTAAATAACATCTAACTAAAATATTGCCAAAATTGGATTCCGAAGCTTCCCCCTGACATTAAATTGAAAACATTCGTTTAAAAAATGAACTTTATATTTCAAAACCGATTGAATTCCTATTCAAAATCTAACTCAAATCTTGCCAAATTGGATTTCGAAGCTTCCCCTTATATTAAATTGAAAACCTTACTAATCCCCACCTCCTTTTACTAAACGTACCCTAAATACTGAAATATTACATTGATTCCTTTTACTAGGGTCCGCGTTAAATTTTGGGAAATTTCAGGCTGGCCAGTTTGACTTTTAATTGATACCTTTTCAAAAACAAATTAAAAAAGAAGGTCCCATTTCAGGATTTCACCACCTAAAAATAAAAACTAGTCAGCCCCGGTGATTTTTTAAGCTAGGGTCTTTTAAGGTCGAAAAAATAAGTATTTTATATTACAACGTTTATATAATATTGGGGGAAAACTTCGAAATCCACTTTTTGGCATTTCCTGGCAATATTTTTGCTGGATGTCAAAAGGAAATCTAATCGATTCTTGAAATCGAAAAAACATAGTTTTTTGTTATTAGTATTTTTAATTGAATCTTAGGGGAAAACTTCGAAATCCAATTTTTAGCAATATCTTAATTATATGTTACACAGAAAACTAATCGATTTTGAAGCAGTTTTTTTTAAATATATTAGGGCTGGTAATTTAATATTAGAGGAAACATTTCGAAATCCGGTTTTTGTTTTTATTTTTATTACTATAATTTAAAAGGAAATCGAATCGATTTCAAAAAAGAAAAAATAATATTATATATTAGGGTTTTTAAATGTAATATTAGGGGAAAACTTCAAAATCCAATTTTTGACCATATTCTAATTAGATTTCAAAAGGAAATCTAATGAATTTTGATATAGAAAAAATAGTCTTTGATATGAGGGTTTAATATGAGGGGAAAGCTTCGAAATCCAATTTCTGGCAATATCTTAATTTGAATTTACAAGGAAATCTAATCGATTCTGAAATAGAACAAATTTAGTTTTTTATATTGGAATTTTTCATGCAAGATTAGGGGAAGCATCGAAATCCAATTTTTGAACATATTTTAATAATTGGATTTTAATTTGATATTAGGGGAAAGCTTCAAAATCATTTTTTTGTTTTTTCATTAGATTTCAAAAGGAAATCTAATCGATTTTGAAACAGGAAAAAAAACAAAATGATATTAGGGTTTAATATAAGGGAAAAGCTTCGACATCCAATTTTTTGGCCATATTTTATTTAATTTTTAAAAGGAAATCTAATCGATTTCGAAATAGAAAAACATACATAGTTTTTTTTTATGTTGGGTGCTTTTATTTGATATTAAGCTTTGGAATCCACTTGTTTGCCATATTTTAATTGGATTTAAAAAGAAAGAAATCTGATCGATTTTGAAATAGAAATATGTATATATATATATATGTGTGTGTTTTTTTATCAGTATTAGGGGGAAGCTTCGTACCCTAATACTAAAGACCCCCCCAATACTAAAAACTCCTCCAGGTGTTTGTTATTTGGGTGGGTGGGTGAAGGGGCGACTGTTTAGCAACAGGGGGAAGGGATTAAACCGTTTTTTGTTTCTAATTTCAAAATCCATGAAAATAATCTTTAAATAGAATACTGCCAAGAATAGGATTTCGAAGCTTTCGCCTAGTATCAAATAAAACACCAACACCTGAATTAAAAAAACTAAAATTGACGATTTTAAAGGACGGACCCCAATAAAAGACACCCCGGTGTTGACTAGTTTTTTATTCTTTGGGGGTGAAACCCTCACATGGTACCTTCATTTTTAAAATTGTTTCCTCAAGGGGATCAATTAAAAATCAGATTAACCAATTTGACATTTCCCAAAATTGGAAATCGCACCTAGTTTTTGTCATTTGGGGGTATTTTTCGTAATAGGGAGAAAGGATTAGCAAAAAGAATGCCTGATCAAAATGATGCTGATTCTGTGTGTTACAATCTTTTTGCCCACTACAGTGTCTACAGGGTTACAAGGGATGCCGTGCCAGCTAGAGTCCCAAGTCCATTCAACCAACACCCTAATCGATGAAGTTGGACTTGTTGAAATGGAAGTGGGACTGGACCAGTTGACATGGGGCGATGCTGACCTTCAACGGGAGCTTCGGCGCCTGAAGGACAACAGTTTGAAAATTCCGAACCTGAAATATATTTTCAAAATTGCCTTACTAAGAGTGATCCCCACCCTGACACACTATTCTGACATAGTTTCTGACATATCATCTGGACGTATATGTGGCATATATGTTCTGACATACTATCTTACATTTTTTTCTGAGATTCTATTTGACATTCTTTCTGGCATCCTATCTGGCATCTATTCTGACATACTTTCTGGAATATACTATATTCTGATCCTGCCTTGCCATGAGTTTGGGCTGGGAGTGCTTCTATTTGCGTGGATCAATGCCAATGGCTTGAATCTCCACCAAATATTGGTTTCACATGTTTGCACCCAATGATTACCATTACCATTGATACCCCAAAATGGCCAGGTCCTGAATTTGAGAGTAGGTCCTGAAAAGTTTTCTGGGTACTGAAAAAACAGGACTTTAGCACAGGGTCTGAAAAAAGACGTAGGTGGAAGATTCAAGTATGCTGTTGGGTTGCAAAGCTGGGTTAATTCAATATCTTAGGGACTTGCGGATTGTTCCGGTGGCGAGAAATCCTATTGACAAAGTCGCATCTTTAGTGGCAACGGAAGTTCTTGAACATTGCTCAAATGGGGCCTGGATTAGTTGAATCCTTGTTGTTGACGGCTTTAACATGCTTTCACCATATTTCTGTCATATAGTTAGTTTTATAATTACTTACATATAGATACATATAGACACACCACTATAATAGGATTTAACCATCAAAAAAAGGGACTGAACCAATGAAGGATGGCTTTGCGTTAAAATACCTGGGCAACGGGATAGATGGGGCATGGGGAACGCTACCATCATATATTTCTCCATCCATGATCTCAAAAGCATTCAATGGGGGATGAAACGTCAGATTTTGAGTAGCATATCTCCATCTACTGTATCTCACATGTTCCTTCGGTTGGGTGACATGATTCCTTCCCCTGACTCTCTCTCTCTCTCTCTTTCTCTATACTGTATATAAATATTAAACATACGCCCATCGTTTCAATCCTGCTTTGGTATCGGTCCATTTTGTTTCATCATTTACCGCTGTTAAAAGCGGTGTTTTTTTCATCGCGAACCCTAACAAATTGCCAGATGGTATATGTTTCTTGAACAATGAATGTTTCAGACATGTTTTGGGGAACCGCCAGCCATTATCAGTTTGATATTTTTCATCAGCTAGGACCAGTTGGCAAGTGTCCAGTGACTGCTAGTATTAGTTGGGTTGAGAATGGTATGGGAGAAACACGTGAAATCTGGATATCTCCCGAAGGAACATGCATGGTTCTACTCCCGCTAGTGGGCTGGCATTTGTATGAGGGCTTCAGGGTTGATATGACGAGTGTTTGAATCATGTCACATCGGACTTCAAATTGGGCCATAGCAAAAGCAATGCAATTGACTTATTTGTTTTTGGGGGTTTCAAGGTTTACATGTTCCACCCTTATTCAAGGGATGGATTCTCCCAATTCAATTTGAGAGCCTGTTGGCCAAGATTTGCGTTACAGGCTTCGTTATAATTCCTGCCCAAACATACCTGTCTCGGAGGGGGAGCATGGGAAGCACGTATACCAATGCACCACTTGAAAGTGTGGGTTTTTGTTGGGCCTCAATCACCTACCCCATTTCAGTGATTAAGCCAATCATGTTATGACTATAATATATTGGGGTTAACAACCAACAGCCACAGATATATGGCCGCATCTTAAGCATCGATTTAACAGCATCAATGATACCATTTTTTCCACTGCAACTACCTCTGCAATTGATTATTAAATCCTTATTCAGTTGAATATATAACCAGTAATTACTATCGAACTTCTGGTGACCAAGTCTTTAGATCGTAACCAGCAATTGATCATCAACCAGTTCAAACCAGCAAAAAAAAACCTGCAATTCTTTCTAAATCCAGTTTTTCCACTCCGAAAAAACGTTCAGAATTCCAGTTCAGTCAGTTATTGGACTGGGTGATGTCATCATCACTTTCTGGTTGGTGGTTTGGAACATTTTTTATTTTTCCACATATTGGGAATAATAAATATAATCCCAACTGACGAACTCATATTTTTCAGAGGGCTAGGGCTTTTCCCCACCAACCAGCTTTCAATCCTACCTTTTTCAACAGCATAAAATCACCAGAGCCAGGTTGCATGGATTGATCAGCGATGGATCCCTTGAAAAGCAGCAGCTACTGGCAGCCAGGTGGGTGGCGTTGAATTCTATCCAATCATGGAGAAATCATTAAGGGGCTAGTGTTGATCAGTTGGTTAATGATCTTACTGATGATCTTAGTGTTGATATATGATCGTACTGATGATCTTAGTGTTGATATATGATCTTACTGATGATCTTAGTGTTGATATATTGATATCTTGAATAGTGTTGGTTAGTGTTGATCAGTTGGTTACCCTCTGGTAAACGGGCTACATAACGAACTGGAAAATCACCATTTTCAGTTGGAAAACCCACTATTTCTATTTCCATTTTCAATAGCTATGTTAAATTACCAGAGGGTAATGATCTCACTGATGATCTTACTGTTGATATATTGATGATGATCTCATGGTGGTTACTTGGTTAATTGATTATCAACAGTTGATTATATAATGATGATAATGATCAACTAACCATAATCATCAATAGTTGGTTATATAATCATGATCTGGTTGGTGGTTTGGAACATGAATTTTATTTTTCCATATATTGGGAATAATATATAATCCCAACTGACTTTCATATTTTTCGGAGGGGTAGGTATACCACCAACCAGTGATACCCTCTGGTAATTTAACATAGCTATGGAAAATCACCATTTTTAATCGGAAAACTCACTATTTCTATGGCCATTTTCAATAGCTTTTTGTATGTTTACCAGAGGGTAAACCATGGTTAAACCATGATGTCAACCAGTGATAGTGTTGATTATATATATATGATGATGATAATGATCAACTAACCATAATCATCAATAGTTGGTTATATAATAATGATAGTATGATGATGATTTCACTCCCTGAAATCTCGGCAACTCCGCTCCGCAGCCTGGCTGCAGGTCTCTTGTGGACCTCGACCTGGAGCTTTCGGATGACAGCGACTTGTGCTCCACGGCACAAGGCGTTGCAGTGGCAGGCAGGACTGGGAGGTGATGTATGTGTCTCCTGGTAGTTCGATGATTGATAGATATTTAATGATATGTAGAAATCTAGAATCTATTACTATTTATTCCTATTTACTGTACATATATTGATGATATATAGGTATTTACATATATTTAAGTACCTCATAGTTCCAGGTTTCCAACTGTTCTACGTATTCAAGGGTTGCTACACAGAATGACAACCTCTGTTAATCAATTGGGGGCACCCTGAAAAAGTGATGACATGCTGTTATATTGGGACCTGAGTAGTAAGCTGGGCTTTTGTATGGTTTTGTCACCATGGAAAAGTGATGATAAACATAAACCACTGCATTTTGGGTAGGCCGGTAGGCCTCATCAATATTTGAGACAAACCCATTTGGCGTTGCAGTCACCTTTCGTAACTTTACCTCTTTATGGGCGGTGATGAACACCAGGATTTCGATGGGAAAACACCGAACACGTCTATAAATGGAGGACTGTAATTGTCATTGAACTTCACCCATTTGAACCGATGAGGAAATATCATGAAATATCATGAAATATCTAGGGGCCCACTTCTTTCCTTCTGGGGCACAGGTTTGACAAGCCTCTTGGCGAGCTGGACTTGGGTAAGGGGCCGCCTCTCGGGACACTTGTGGGAGTTTATATACCCACAAAAATCATCAATATCATGGGGAGCTAGCCATTATATTGATTATATTGATTATGTGAGCTGTAACAATGATGATACCCAAATATCAAACATTGGGGAGTTTATATACCCACAATCTTTTTGGGGAGCTAGCCATTCAATATCATCAATTCAAAATGGGTAGCTGTAACCCATGTACCTACATGTATCGTCCCGTCCCAAGACATCATGATCTCGTTGCTCCTGGAAGCAGCCAGGGGGGGTTCGGGTGCATCAAATGCATCCCCAAAATTCATTGAACAGAATCTGGAAAAGAGAAATTTTCCATCTGGTTGGTGGTTTGGAACATGAAATTTATTTTTCCCATCATATTGGGAATGTCATCATCCCAACTGTTACTCAGTCCATCATTTTTCAGAGGGGTAGGGCGAAAAAACACCAACCAGCCATGGATTTTTCGCAAAGATCTGAGAATTGGATGAGAATTCCATCCATCCAGACTGGCGAAAAAAAACATGGACTCAGCGGTGACTCACTCTGGTGAGAAACGGCTCAGGTTTCTTAACATCGCTGTTCCCAGAGCATTTCAAGGCGGCTTCACCGCATGGTTTTTCGACCTGGTACGAAAATGAAGAAACTTGAAAACATGAATAAAAAACTGAAGAGCTGCATATGCACACATATAAATATATATATAATATATATATAATATATATAATATATATATAATATATATATATATAGTATATATATATATAATATATATATATATATTATACGTATAGGCAGACAAGCATACACACTTGAGCAGATAGACTTGGCTCAACTTACCCTCCAGCAAGCTCACATCATTACTTGGCAGGTGCCCATCATTTCCCAAGGGCATGCTCGTACATGGTTGACTGCTGGTTTGGGCTGGTTTGGAATTTTGGGGACACTGCAGACACCCATAGTGATAATCCTTTTCTTAGGAGAATTCTGGGATTCCAAATCACCAATTCACCGAAACCACCAGGTAATCTTTGAGTCATCTACCCATATCACCCTTTGGGAAAGAAACGTGGCTTGCCGGAAAATCACTATTAATAGATATTATATGATTTTCCACTATACATGCTCATTTAGTTCAGGGATTTCCCAACCAGCCGTGTTTGATTACACCAGAGGGTATGTTAATCTAATGGCAACCTGCAATCAATTTTGATTGATTAATGGTCATCTAAAAGATAAGGTGTTTGATATGCATCATAAACAAACTATGATTTATGATGGATAGTATCTTTGTTGATGGCAATCTATATCAATCTATGATTGCTTAATTATGATTGATGATGAATAATGATTCATCATTATTTTTAATGATTTTTATTGATGGTAATGGCAATCTATGATTGATGAATCATCCTCAATCCACTGCGAAATTCTGTCGTCCTGTCCCGGACGCCAGGCGAGACGAACGAAGCGCGGTCCGCCCTTTGCGTTTCGCTTCCTGGTTCCCTCGACCCATCCAGCGCCGTGAGGGCACCCCCATGTGTAAATATGTTAAATATGAAGTGGGGCCCCCTAGATAGCTAAGTTGGTTTATAACTCCAATAACTATGGTTTATGGTACTTATAACTATATTTACTGGGGCTTATAAACCAACTTATAACTGGGGGGCCCCACATTGTATGAAGCCCTTGAATTCTGGAAAACAGCGTGCAGATTGTGATGCTACACGGGATGTTCGTGGGCGCCGTGAGGGTCTTTGGGCTTTGCGGGAAGCTGCCTTCATGGCAGCTGTTTCAGGAGTATGGAAAGCGCCACGGCCATGTGCTTTGGTATGTATGCTTGGCATCAATGAGTCACACAACGGAACTGTACACTAATGTTCCAGACAGAATCAAGGGATGCCCCTTCTCCCCCGATTTGACAGCCAGTTTTGTTGGACTTTTGGACCATTTTCCAACCACAAAAGACAAGATTCAGTAGATAATTGTAAGGACACACACATACACACACACATATATATATATATGTAATACATATATATATATATATATTCATATAACTAGTTATAACTATGCATATATATATATATATATCGGCAGAATAGGTGCCATGTTTGGATCTACGTGCCGTGCCACTTTGGAATCTCCTTGGATTCTCCGCTCAGCTTCGGTGCTCTTTGACTCACCTGCAGCTGGGGCAAAACGGAGCGAAAATGTAGGGTGGACGGGTGGACGATGGCGGAAACGTTACGGGCCTGGGATACCCTCTGGTAAACTAACATAGCTATTGAAAATGGCCATAGAAATAGTGGATTTACCCATTAAAAATGGTGATTTTCCAGTTCGCTATGTTAAATTATCAGAGGGTAGGTCAATGGTAGGCAGCCTCTGATTACATTCTTCTTGTCATATAGACTGATAGATAGATGGATAGCTGCTAGCAGGCTGCTGGATAGCTTTATATTTTCTAATTATATGAATTGATAGGTTGGTGGATGATAGGCAGACAGACAGGCAGATAGATGGAACGGTACTTACATCTCAAAACTATACTTATACTAACATAGATTCAAGGAAGCAAAATTCAGAAGTACTGTCGTTTTTCGTAACCCCGGAGTTTTGATCCTTGATTGCTTACACGGTACATGTTTACGGTTACATCATGTCCACATCGACATGTACAAACATACATACATACATACTTACATATATATATATATGTATAATATATATATATATACATATACATATATATATATACATATGCATATACATAATTAAATAAATAAACACACACACACAGTATACGTATGGTTTTGTACGTGTGAATGTGCATGTTTATTGGTTCCATCGCTAACTCTTTTCTGCCAGCGCCATCAGGCGCGCACCGCTGGCCTTCCAGTCTTCCTGGCAGACCCCGCGCAGCGCAAGGCGTGGATTTTCCGCGGCTGGGTCAAGATTTAAGACTCAGGAGGCCACAGATTGGAATGTCTATTTATTACACCATTTTAGTGGGTTACCCTGGTTTAATGGAGGTTTAATGGGATTTAATGGGATTTAATGGGATATAATGGTGATATACCATCTGGTTATTTAACATCGCCATGGAAAATTGCCCATAGAAATAGATGATTTTCCCAGCTATAAAGCCTCATTTATATAAGGGATTTTCCATGGCTATGTTAAATAACCAGAGGGTAATATTTGTAGTACTAACCATCCATTTTTAGGCTACCTAAAAAATGGATCCACAGCCAATTGATTTTTGTCATATCCCTTGTTGTTTACCTTAGGAACAGAATATCTTGTGAACAACTCTTTATTTTATGAGACAGGATGTACATGTTTGTTTCTTTTCTGAAGGCTGTTTTTTGTGAACATGTGTTTGTTTCATTTTTTTGCCGACATGATATTACCAACAAATCAAGCGCTCAAAGCTACCAACCAGTGAAGGGGACTTGTTTCTTTCAGATATAGAGTTTTTTTTTATTACAGTACCATTTGTTTTTGAATTGGGAAATGGGGGTATGACATGATATGACCAACAATCAAGGGGTCTAGGATCAGGTTCTCTTTGGTTCTGCTCTTCCATTTTTCGTATTTTTTAACCTATCTACATTTTTGGTGGCTGGAACCCCCCTTTACCTTTTCGCAATCTAACATGGCTATGGAAGCCATGGCCCAATTAGTTCAATGATTTACCCATCGAACATGGCGGTCTTGACTATATAGTTATGTAACAAAATACGAGGTACATGCCATGGTTAAATCCCCCCCATTTTTTCCAACATTTTGATTGGTTAAATCCCCCATTCCCCGTATATTTTTCTCGGACAAAGCTGGCCGTTGTCGCAGCCCCGGTATCTTCCCGCCCTGCTTAACCGGGGCGCCTGGGTGTCAACACCGCCATGCTGCGCCTCAGCGTGCTGCGGCCGGCGCTGGCCGCGCGGCTGAGAATGGAACCCGTGTTCGCGAGGCAGGGGTGCTGCAGCAGTCGGGATTTGTTTCCATTGAGCAGTGATCAAGACCCCTATTGGTTGATGAGTGGGGATTATACTAGCCAATATACCCTCTGGTAAAGTAACATAACTATGGAAAATCACAATTTTTCATGGGAAAACTTACTATAAATGGCCATTTTCAATAGCTACGTTAAATTACCAGAGGGTATTGAGAATGATGATAATCCAATAGGATCCAATAGGGGAATCCCTAAAAACCAAGCAGTATAATGGAATGGCCGGGGGATTTGGAACACTTCTCAATTTAAAGATATCGGATGATATCGGGACATCCAATGGGGGAGTTTGCCTGGAGAAACCTGGGATTTCAATGGGGATATAATGGGGATATACCATCTGGTTATGACTAACATAGCCATGGAAAATCACAATTTTTAATAGATAAACCATCTATAAATGGGCCATTTTCCATGGCGAACTGTTAAATAACCAAAGGGTATACCATGCTTTGCCCTCTGGTAATCCAACACTTTGCCATGGAAAATGATCGTTTTCAATGGCTATGTCAAGTCACCACGGGGTACCTTCCCCATGGCGTAGGCCCGCGTACCCATTGCCTTAGGTACCCTAAGTTAGGGTATAGGACAAAAGCACCCAACACAAAACCTGCTCAATTTGAGTTTAGTGAAAATCATTGCATCTTCATTTTACAAGTGAGCCAGTTGGCTGTTCCGCACATATATATATATATATATACATATGTACACACACATATATAATATATATATATATAACTCCTGCACAAATAGGTTGTGGCTCATGCTTCCTCCACCGAAAAACTCGAGGATGGCCAGACGTGGCTGCGGGTCTGAGATGGCAGCATTGCATAAGAGTCCTATTGTTCAGCTCCTTTGGAAAGAGACTTGGGCTTCTGCACGGCAGTGTTCATGACTGCGTAAGGCTATTTCTATACAATGTATTGCTTTTATTTACAGTAGTGTTTATAGTTTCATCAATAGTTCTTCACAATTCGATTCCCTCTTCACCCAATGAAGACATTTTCTGATGAAAAAAACATAGGCCATTGCACAGTCGTGGATGCTTCGATGGTTTTCCAGCTTGGGATTACCGGGTTTGGCCCTTTAGGGTTCTTCAAGGCTTACTAGAGTCCCGAAAAGGTCGAAGAAAAAATAAGGTTGTATCAGTGGTGTATCAGTTTATGATAGTTTAATCCCATGACGGATCCATGGTGCTGGTATATTAATGCTAACATGACTGGGGTATATTGATGGTAAATGTTAGCATATATACCATACATGGATCCTATGGGAATATAGTTTATGTAATGATTGAAACATGAACGAAAATTGATGGGAAATTAAAGCATTCGGAAATTGATGGGAGTTCACCAGCGCGACTGATGATTTGCTGGGCATTCTCGAATTCGAACCCTCAACAAGCATATGGATTTTGAGACAACCGTGACTTTGTTCCGGCCATCGAATCTAACGTGGCATTTTGGACTGTTTTTCCATGTTTTTCCTCACCAAATGATTGGAATTTCCAGTCTGCCAATGCTGCCAATGCTTGATTGTCAGAGGGCATGTCTATTTTATGCTTTAAACATCTTTAAACCACATGTTTATTGGTCGAATCCTAGTGTTTCATCCAAAATCCCCTCACGTTTGCTGTGTTCAGATCCGGCAGATCCGATTGAGGTAAAATCCACTGCCAACAAAGCTCAATGTTGGTGACAATCTCAATTTTGGGTTGCTTACCCTCTGGTTATGACTAACATAGCCATGGAAAATCACCATTTTTAATAGGTGAACCATCTATAAATGGGCCATTTTCCATGGCTATGTTCAATAACCAGATGGTAAATCACTGACATTCCCCATCTTTTGTTTGATTCAATCCATTTCAATCCCCTTTTGTTGGCGTAAAAAAAATCCCCACCATCGCCCCCGGTTGGCGCCGCGGAACCTAGGAGCGCGCCAACCAGGCGCGGGTCACCGCCAGCGGTGCCAAGCCCCAGGACCACATTCTGACGAAAACCCCCAAGAGCTCCAGCACCTTGGAGAAAAGCCCAGTGGCAGTGACCATCATGGACAATATTGGAGGTTTCCTATGGAAATTTCGTGGGTTTACCCATTATATCCATGGTGATTATCCAACTGGTCATTGAAATATTGGTTAATATGACTATTTTTGTTGGCCATATTGGATTTATATGGATTTATGTCATTCGGAATGATGGATTTATGGTTAATCAGTTGGAGGTTTCCAAAGAGAAAATTTCGTGGATTTACCCATGGATTATCCATGGTGATTATCTGATCATTGATATACTGGTTGGTGGTCTGGAACCATGGAATTTTGAATGACTTTCCATATATTGGGAATGTCATCATCCCAACTGACGAACTCATATTTTTCAGAGGGGTAGGTCAATCACCAACTAGACAATATTGGAGGTTTCCTATGGGGGGTTCCCCAAAATGGATGGTTTCTTTTGGGCATATCCGATCTAGAAATGGATGATTTAGGGGTACCCCCATTTTAGGAAACCACCATGTATCCATAAATGGGTATATCCGTATATAAATGACCATATATCTATGATAAATGATGTCTCATAGTATGGCTACTGTATATGGGACGGACTGGAGATTATTGTGGATAAACATTATGGACATAATATTATGTCTATACATTTATACAGATATACCAATATGGATATATATATATATATATTGTTTTATGGGGTTTAAGCATGTTTAAGCATCAAATAGATGGGTAAGCCCTGACACAATTGATATAGTGACCGAGTGGGGGGATTTTGTTTGCCAAGTGGAACCAGTTGAAGCACCTTTTCAGCCGTTGAAGCAACTTGCGGGATCTCATGATGACATGGGGCGCTGGGATGGGATGGTGGGAGTTTGGGAATAAACTCGGGACATCTTTAGGATGTTAATGGTATACCCTCTGGTAAACGGGCTAACATAGCGAACTGGAAAATCACCATTTTTGATGGCTAATTCAACTATTTGTATGGCCATGTTCAAAAGCTTTTTGTATGTTTACCAGAGGGTAATATGGCCAGTTTTTTTTTGGTTTAATGGTTTTGTCATGTTTTGTCCAATAATTGGAGGTACAGCCCCAAAAAAGGCACTTTTAACAGGGAACATATTCATAAACCATCGGGATTTTGGCGCACCGTGTTTTCAGGCAAACGCATTCGGGGCATGTTTAAATCCATGTGGGTTTTGTCATGCCAAGAAAAGATATTCTTCCCCGCGCCCAATGACTCGATTTATGTGTTTGTGAGTTCCCACTTATCACTCCTGTGGTGTGCACAATGGTCATCACAAGATTATCATTAGTCATTGGTATCGCAGTACTGCTTGTCATGTCATCGATCACTTCCCCCCGAAAGAATTTATTACCCTCTGGTGAACTAACATAGCAATGGAAAATGGCTATTTATAGTGGATTTTCCCATTAAAAATGGTGATTTTCCATTGCTATGTTAGTTTACCAGAGGGTAAATGAGATGTCAAGTTCGAAACCCTGGTTGAATGTCGTGGACGTATTCACGCCAAAATCGGGCAAGACCTTGGTACCTACGGCAAAAAAGCAGCAAAGTTTCGGATCAGAAAATGCTGTGTCCACTGGTTGCAAGAGAGCTTGGTTGCAAGAGAGCTCACATACAGGAATTTTAGGCTTAGGATGTATTTAACATCAAAGATAACAGTGTTCATCACCAAACCTCATGATTTTCTAAGTCAGAAGAGACTTGGAGATCTCAAAGCAGAAAAACACGAGCAACGTCCCAGCAAAAATGAGCAACGATGGGGATGGTGGGATAAAAAAACTGGAATGACCCAATGGGGACGGTTACCAATGTTACCATCCTGGAGTTCTTCTATGATTTTACCCTCTGGTAAGCTAACTAATAACGAACTG